CATGGGGGGAAGAGGAAGAGGGGGAAAACAACGGGTGACTTGTCATTTGAGGTATATAATCCATCATAAATTTCCAAGTACAAACCATAGCCAAGCAAAGCTTACCTGAGCCTTTGTATTTACTTATGTAGAAAGATAACAGAAGCTTTGTAATGATGATAACAGAAGCAACGATCTATGACAAAAATAAAAAATAATCCAGAAGCTTTGTAATGATGATAACAGAAGCAACGATCTATGACAAAAATAATAAATAATTAACTTTTACCAGAGACAAAGACCTTTGAAAACTATAAATCCTACCTGCATGCAATAAACAAGATACCAAAAAAAAAGTCCCTCTTCAATCACCGGCATCTGATGAACAAATTCGTGTAATCCATTCCCCCATTAACATAAATCAGCTTAATTAATAAACTAAATTATAGAAATTTGGTCATATGTAACTTAATTAATAAGCATATTTTAATTAATAAGCTTAATTAATAATCTTTCACATAATATTCTGATTGACAAAATAAATCAACATACAAATACACTGCACAAATACAGAGGTAACCAAAAACCTTCCGATACAATTACCCCAAAGCTGTTCCAGAAATAAAAATAAAAATTAAGAGCATTGAGGGATATCTTATAGAAGGAATTAACTAACGATGACGATGAAGAAGAAGAAATATCAGCGCTTACAATAGGGTGAACACGCATGGTGGATTTTCACATGTGCCGAGTCCTCTTTTTTCTCTCCTCACCTCGAAGTGCATCCATAGCCAGAGCCTTGCATTTTCCCCCTCGATCCCACCTTCATAACCAGCAACTACCATCAATACCACCTTAATTCCCCAACCATGCACTGCAGCGAAACCCTAGATCCACCCAAAACCCTAACTCCAGCAGCATCCTCGGCCCCTCAAACAAAAAAATCAGAAACCCTAATAATGCTCGGGAGAACTCGAAATCGAATGCGAATCAAAATTTCTCAACACCGCGATAATCAGGAGAGAATTCTTTAGCCGGCTTACAAACTTGAAAAAGGGAAGTGCAAAGAATTTTAGAGAGAGAAACAGAAGATAATAGATTTGAAGAGATGAAGGTGTTTTGTATTCCTCCATCGGAGAAGTTTTACAGACGAAGGTGAAGAAATGCTGTGATTAAAAGGAGGGGAAAAATTTCGAAGTTGTGATTGCTGGAAATGGAGATCTGAAGAAAGATGGAATAAAGAAAACTTCTAAATTAAATTGAAGAATGAAAGAAACGAAAGAGTTGAGTTTTTGTGTTTTCGATTTTACTCAAGTCAGAAAAAGTTTTTTTTTTGTTCTAGGGTCATCTGGGACGTTAAAAAACAATGAGAAAAGATAAGGATATTTTTGTAATTTTATGATGATTTCATTAAATGTGGCAAAACACATGTAGCTAGACACCGCTTTTTTTGTAGTGTTTATTCCAATTTATTTGTGACGTACATGCAAAGTTGCTTGATATTTTTTGTCTAACTAGTGCATGTTTGATATGATATTACGTGTCGTCAATATAATAAAAGACAATTGAATTATGAGCAATTTAACTCAAAGAAGCTCAACTCAACTCAACTACAGTTTGGTTTTTTCAATCCGATTCTTGAATGGACCGTGTTTCCTTTATTCTTATTACGGAAACATGCACAAATTTTTTTTACGTTCCGATACATGACAAACTAGCATATGCCTATAAAGAAGAGAGCATGTAAAGCGTAACTTTGGGTATAATTTTATGTATATGTTGGGTGTGGCAGAATCAAATTAAGGATGGATACAGAGAGATAAGGAGAAAGCGAGAGATCATGCCTATGATGTTATCTTCACGTAGCTTGCTCTACATATTTGTTGAAGGAAAGGAATAGAATTTTATTCAAGCTGAAGGCGTAGTGTGTGGACGCAACACGCAATCTAACTAATTTAATTGTTAGAATAATCTCCATGATCTAAAGATGAAATTAGATAACGAGATTCGGCTTAAGTGGCATTAATATGAGTTCCATAATAGATGAACTGTCAAAAGAGTATGTTGGAAAAGGCCTTTGAGCATAGAGCTGGATAATTGATATGTCACTCAACTTGGGATTAGTTCCATATTGAGTCACCCCAATAGGGTGATTAGAATCATGGAATAAAAAAAATAAAATGAAATTCGATATCATCTTCAATAATTTAGGCTTTAATGATGAGCCATCTTCATATCAATTTCTTTTGAAAAATCTATCACTTAATTAGTTGTTCAAAAATTAAAGTATTACCATATCTTTTTTCCATCAAATTAGTCCCTTAAAGATATAAAATTGTCACCAGGTTTGTCTATATATATGGAAGACTAAAGTAGTGTGATTAGTGACATAAAAAGATTAATTTGTAATAATTTTGTATCTTTCAAGGGACTAATTTAGTAATAAATTTTTTTTAAGGACTACTATGATAACATTTTATTTTTAAAGGAATTAATTTAGTGATAGTAATCTTGAAGGACTAATTAATATTATATAAGAACACCTTAATCTTTGGAGTTCTAAATTGAGTGTTTATTCAACCAAATTAATTTATATTAACCGTTGATTATTTACCCGGGTAGCCACCTCTCTACCCGGGTAAATAATACAAGCATTTTTTCAGAATTTTGAAAAATACCCAGGTATCCCCTTAATTACCCGGGTAGAAATTTTTTTTCAAAAAGTACCCGAGTAGGGAGGGGGCTACCCGGGTAGGCTTGATGGTCAACGGTCAAACAGAGACAGATTGATGTTATGTTTTCTAGAGAGGTTAAATTTTTGAAATAGTTTATAATTAAAGTTAATTTGATAATTAATTATTAAATAAGAGCTACCATGGTCAAAAAGCCTACATATTGTTTGGGCATATATATAATCTCTTCGACTCCCTGCTTGAATATTCTGGTTTTAGTCTTCTTCTTTGTCACCTTTTGGTAGAATGCAGACTATCATTGAGCCATTGCTCAAGTATGGTGTACCTCTTGCATTATTTTGGCTACTATTTTAATGTTATAATTGTGTTATTATATATGATGTCGAAAATGCAGCTAAACAGAAAATTAGGATTTTTATAAAAAAGTAATCTTTCGGTTCTCAATTTTTATTAACAAAATAGTATAATTCAACTCCTAGAATAAGGGCTATAAGTAGGGGTGATAAACGAGTCAGGGGCCTTTGACTCGGCTCGTGAAGGCTTGCGCTTACATGCCTAATATTGGTAATTTTTTCTAACACGCTAAATCAGGCTTTTGTTATTTACAAAAAAAAATAAAAAATCAGGCTTTTGTTTTTTGTAAATAAGGCCACATGCCGATAATTATATTCGTAACAGGTAACAGGCTTGGTAAGGCCGACACATTTAATCACAGGCTTAGCCTTTTAAGATCAAAGCTCGACTCGGCTCGGCCCGTTAACACCCCTAGTCATAAGCACCTTTTTATAGACTAATTACAAATTGATTCAAAATTCAAAAATTCTAAAAATAAAAAAACTTCCTAAAATAAATATAACAGTAATAAATAAATAATTATAATTAAATCATTCAAAATACATCCCAAATCTTATATCTCAAATCACGCCAAATGTGTTGCTTTCCTTTTCTTGCCAAATAAATTAAAATCATATCTGCTGTTTTATTGAGACTTTGATTTGATCGTAATTTGTTATACTTTACATCATTGCTTCTTTTAATAATTGAGCCATACTTATTGGACCAGAACTCTAGTTGACTCTGAGTTTCTTGAGTCAATGGTTGGGTCATATGCAATGGGTCAATTGTAAGTGTATCAATACATTTAATAGAAATTTTACTGCATAAATTAGAGACCTTAGGCTAATACATTGTTGATATGTCATTCATTATGCTAATTTATAATTTATTTATTAATTAACAACCTGTCAATAATTTTCCCTTTTTCCCTACAGCTAATTGGGCTCATTCCACTATAACTGTTACCATCGGCCTGCAAGAGGATAGCATCTACATCACCAAAAGTTGAAAAGGCTACGATCCACTTATATGTTATTAATTTCGATCCGTTAATAACATGGCTTTTAAATAACAATTAAAAATTATTAACTATGACTAAATAAAATCCAAAACGTGTTAGAATATAATTATCTTCAGGAAAAACTTCAAAAAAAAAACTCTTGTAACTTTTCTCATAATCATTTACCTCTTCCTAAAATTTTGAATCATTTCCTCCCCTCACTTAAGGAAATAAGTGGTAAAAAAAAATTAAGTCAGGGAGTAAATGATAATTTTTTTTTTAAATAAAGATAAATTATTCAAAATATTTATGAGAGCGATAAATGATAATTGAGAAAATTTTCCCTTATCTTTATCACTACCACCGCATCAAAATCATTATAAACTATGGGTAAAATATTTCTCTGGTGAGCCTAAAACAACGTTATTTTTAGAGCAAAAATCAAGATATTTTTGTAATTCTAATATATTGCAAGGTTATATTAATCTTTATCATTATAATTTTTTAATCTTATAACCCCAAAACAACATTATTTTGAGCTTATTGAAAATAACTTGATACTCGATATATGAAGAAATACTTTTCCCATAAACAATTCACCCTCACAATGAAAAATGTTTGTCCTTTCCTACGACTATTAGTGTTGACTATCAGCTCCAACACCGATAAGACGTGTAACATGCATGTAGGGCCATTTGCATGAATGATTGTCAATAATTCTCAAATGTTTTATTATAACTCAACTTGCCATCATGACCACATGTTGGACCGCTCAAAGATTAGGTCAAAGTTTTACAAATTTACAACACAAACCAATCACGTTTGCTAGGTGGTTGAGTGGATGACTATTCTTCCAAAATCAATTACAGAAAACGAAAGTTCCATTATGGTTGGTATCTGGATGATTATGTTGAAAATGACATTGTCTTGAAGTGGAACCCAAAATGATTATGTTCATATCATATACATTTAAGCACCCAATAGGCGACAATATATAGCCACAAAATTGGCATTAATCAATATTTCTGACAAGACATGACCATCACCTTAAAAAGACATTATTCTGATTATTTCATCATCAAACTTCCAGACCAATAGTTTAGTTCCTATCAATTTCTTAACCCCCAATAGTTCATTCTACCAAGTTTGTCAATGACAGATTGGCTTAATAGACCAATCCATATAATTTCCCAGGTCATTCAATCATGTTATAACTTATAACTAGTTCAAAATCTCCCTCAAAACAAATGTTGTAATTTTTAGGAAAACATCACCAACCAGTGCCTCTGAAGGAATAGTAGTGATTAACTCCTATAAACTTACCTTTATGGTTGGACAAAACAGCTGCTACCCGAGCTTCTTGAACAGATATGGCTGCATTAAACTGAACTTTTAAACCATCTTTGAGGTTGGTGAGCCATGTTCCCTGACCTGACAAGCAATAAGATGATTTCATCTCAAAATAAAGTATGCAACTAGTAAGATGTAAGGATCATTGGAAGAAGTAATCTCTTCCTCTGATCACATACTATTCCATTGAAGGTAGAAGCAAATAGTTTATTCATTTCACGTACACACTGCCCATTCCTTTTTATTATCAATTAACACAAACTTAAATAAACAACCATAATCCACTTTCACTCTGACTATATGAGATGATTGAGCACCAAAGAGACAAACTGCTAAAAGAACTCATGGAAAAAAATTGGAAGTTAAAATTCAACACTGAATTTCATTTCCAAACCCCTCTGAAGATGATCTATTTGCTGGAATGAATGCTGTAGGAGGTTTGGTTACACCAGCCAAAATATCAGCATATCCCACCACACCAACTAAAACTTCGTCGCTCTCATCCTCAGTCACCCAAACATGAGTTGCCCTGTGGGATAGCATCTGAGCCATGACAGCAGCCAATGAACTAGTGATTTTACATGTCAGAGGCGCGCTTCTACCCCTATACATGCTCCTTGAACCAAAACTATGACTTGAAGAATCACTGAAGAATCCAATACTCCTGCTACTGAATTTCCTTGGTTTTCTTGAACTACCATTAGCTAAATTATTGTCTCCAGCAGTTGAATTCACACAGAACTCAGGCAGTGACCTCGAGCTAACATTATCTTCAACTCCCATAACAAACTGTCCGGCTGAGAGATTGGCTAAAGCCCATGCTGCGCCTAAGTAATCACATTTCCATAACTTACATGCTGAAATTTCTCCAATGATCTTACACTCACCATCTGGTGTGCTTTCTATTACTGCAACTGCACTGGGATCTTGAGGAAGCTTCTGAGTTGCTTCAATGGCTGGAGTGGAAGATTCAATATAATTGTAGTTTGAATTAATTGCTCCAAGGGCAGCAATGGAAGTGAGAGGAAGTGGAGCTAGAGCTCCAAGACAACCAATGATAAAACGGAGTACATCTTCTCTAGAGAGAGAGCAATACTTATCAGGGATAGGTGCACAGGAAGATGAGGGGATTCGATTAAAGTTTGCAGATAGATTGTTGTTGCTGCTGCTGCTGCTAGGAGTTTCATTATTCTTGAGCCACTTGCCATAGTAGATAACTGAGAATCGTTTACTCATGCCCTTCCATGCTACACTCTTTGGAACAAGCAAACGTTTCACACCTTGCTTCATCATGTCCAGTGCATCTATCAACCTTAATGACAGGAAATAAATAAGACATTTAGAGTGTGTTTAGCAAATTAGAAAACTGAATCAGGACTGTTCAAATTAAAACTAGTTATGAAAATCTATCTCAATTTAAACTAGCTTTAGAATAAATATTGTTTGTCTAAATTTTGTTTTGAATTAGTTTTAATATCAAGTAATGTTTATTAAATTTCTATGTCTCTTTTGAATTTCTGATAAAGTGCAAACAGAGAAAGGAGGTGAGAAATAAGGAAACTTTTGATTCATATAAAACCTGGTTAGCTTAAAACCAGACAAACATCCCATAAAAATTTTTCTTTGTTACTTTGTTTTTCCATAGTAAGGAAGGATGTTGATCACGCACTTGCAAAAGACAAGGCACTAGATATACACTTTAGAAGTTTCAATTATCTTATTTTAGCTTTGCCCGGCCTCTAATAAAGTATGTGTTTGGTTTAGCTAAAATTATGAGAAATAATTGCTTTATAAGCTGCCAAAAAAATGATTAATTTCCTCAAAATAAGCTAATCCAAACAAGCACAAATACAATAATACATTATATATTTTTTACATTAAAATCTTAGGACAAAGTGGAAGAAAACTATTTGCATTTGAGAAGAGGTAGAATTTGTGCTATGCTATTGTTTTTTCTTTTTCTTCTTCTCCTCTCTCTCTCTCTTTCTCTCTCTGAATTTTTTTTTATATTTTTTCAATTTTTCTGTTTTTATTCATTCATTCATTTATTTATTATTATTATAATTATTATTATATATCATTTTTTCTAATTTATTATTCATTTTTCTTTATTATTTTCTTGCTTTTGTATGGGTTGATCGCCATCCTAACTAGTTTGTAATAAAGGTAACGTTGATAATGTTGTACATATTTTACATAAAATGCTTCACCTTTGTTCATAAAAAGGAACAATGGCCACTGATTCAAGGCTTTAGTCCACATATATTTAGGATCATATATATGGTCCCTAAATTCTATAGAGACAGATAATGAATAATCAATATCCACACAAAAGTAAAAAAGCAATGAGACACACATTCTTGCAGGGATCTCGGATGCTGGTGTTGCAATCCTCTGATCCTAGTTGCCTAGATGAAAATGATGTTGTACCAAACATTTCCCATAGATCTCATCTTTGATATCAAGATAAATCACAAGTTCCCTCACCAAAACACACACACCAACCATGTACATTACATTCTTATAATCAGTATACCCAGAGTACACACTTAACATTGAATGCTGTTGCTCCATTGAACTGCTACTAAAACAATCCAAAAACTCACTAATAGGCTAATAGCACAAACCAGTTAAAGCAAAGCTAAATTCACAATAACTCAGCAAAAATCACTAAAAAGGTACAACTTTAAACCACGCCAACAAACATATGGTACAGAGATTGATAGAACCCCATTCTATTCTTGCTAAAGCAAATGAAAAAGTGTACTTCAGTTTAGTTCATATCTAAAAGTAATTGAAATAGAGGTGCTGACCTTGTTGCAGGGTCAACAAGCCTGAGCAGAGAATTATTTGGAACAACAACCTCAGAAACAGGTGTCTTCAAGGCCTTATCCTGATCCTCCAAACACTGATTCTTAGCCAAAAACGCAACTATGTCAAAGGAACTAAGGATGCCAATAAACCTCTGCTGTCTCATATCACTGTTCTCAATACCCACATGAGATTTCTTCTTCCAGATTGGTATGCTTCCCTCAGGGGATTCCCCTATTGCCCTAATCGCAGATTCCACAGTCTCAGTCTCATGAAACTCCACCAACTCCGGTTTCCCCACCGTCAGATCCCCCACCACATGGTACACAAACACCGATGCCATTAAAATTCAAAAGGGTGTTCGGATTCACAATAAAGATTGAATATTTTTCCACAGAAAAATTACAAAAAGAAAACAAAAACCCAACAAATAATACAGAAAAAGTCACAATTTTTTGTCTGTGTGAAACAAAAGTGATAGCTATAAGAGGGTATGGAGGAAGATGAGTAAAAGATCAAGAGCAGTAATGAGTGGCCTGTGAAGGATCAAGTTGAGAAAGAGAAAAGCAGAGAAAGGGTTTGAGATTGCATTTGCCATTGCCATAGAAGAAGAACACGAAGGTTAAGGCCCATCAATCAGAGGCTTTTAAACTTAAGACTCGGTCAATAAACAAATACCCAGATTTGGCTACGTGCTTTCGGAGATTGCAAAAGCGAAAAGGAACGAACTTGGATCAAGGCCTCATGCGGAGGGAACCTGAGAGAGAGACACAGATACAAAGAATGTGTACGAGTGTGCGTGATGAACTGAACCATATAGTAGAAATCATGTGCCATCAAATTTTATGTAATCTCCAAAAAAAATAAATAAATATGTGCCACTAAATTATTTTCTATATATCGACCAAAAAATAAGTTTTGTTTATTGAATTATTTGTCTTTGGTAGTTGAGTTTTAATTTTTTTTTTTTGGATTGTTTGGTGGGTGTTCATACTACTGTTGCCATGTGTAGATTAGATTATCGAGTGTATCTGTGTATGAATTAATTTACAAAAGTAGTTAGTTTTAAATATTTGTTAGATTTTAGTTAGGTCATAGGTGTTCTTACTTACATATATATGTTAGATTGATACTAGAAAAAAAATATGAAACACACAGATAAGATTAGGTGTCTGCATAAAATATTAAAAATAGGAAAAAAAATAAAAGAGAAAAAGATAGTAACAAAATCAATGAAAAAAAAGTGTATGTACTTTAAAAAAATATATTCTTATATTTTTTATCCCTTATAACTATATATTTTGAGAAATATATAGTTATAATATGAAAGTTATTTTTTTTTCTTTTTAAAAACTTGTAAAGAGAATTTTTTTTTTTTTTTTTCATATTGCAACTATGTACTCCATAATAAAGGATGATACGGAACAAAATGATATAAACTTATATAATTTAAAAATACACACTAAACTCAAATCAATGAAAACAAAATAAGAAAGAACACAAATCAGGAGGCCACAAAAAATCAATGATCATTTTTTTTAATATATATATTTAAACTGATAAGGATCATTTACTAATTGATTTTTTTTTCAAAAATAAGATTCACTAAATCAATTCATAAACCTACTAATACTTGTTTAGAGGAGTACATTTTCTTTTTGTCTTTTTTTATTCAAGCATACTAAGGTAAAGGAAGAAGATGAAAGATTCGATTTCAGATTCTTACAATCAATTACAAAACAGTTAGCTAAATGAACTAGCTGAGACCTTTATAAAAAATTCCTTAAAAGATAGCTCGATAGTTATAGTTTATTAGAATCACACTAACGTTATTTAGTGACCGAAAATTATCATGTGAAACCTAATATCATGTCATTAATGTTTCAAAAATCAGATTTACATTATGAAAACTTTTAGACCACAAAATTGACAGCTTATCAATTTACTAAATCATGTCAAAAATTACGCAATCTGTACGATACATATATAAGTCCGCATCTTACATTATGTGATGAAACAAATATAGTAAATAATTTGCAACACTCAGGGGGTATAAATGACCCAACAAACTTAGAATTTAGTCTAAATAGATAAATATAATATTTTGACTTTTGAATTTAGTCTGAGATATTAGTTTGATGTAGGCCATGTTATAAGTATCACCTATTAATTTATTTAAATATATCATGCCATCATATCTATAAAATAAATAAATAAATAATAATTTTAATTTAATAATATGATATAGGTTGATATATGAATAAAATATTTATTTGTCATACTCATATTATTAATTTTTTCTTTCTCCTTTTTCATAATAAAACTCACTTACTCTTATGTGAATGTAGTAGAAAAATATTGTCTGTAGTAAAAAAAAAATATTTTTCTCAAACATGAAAGTATAAAATTTTAGAAAAGATGAGAAGACGGGAAAAAGTGAAGAATAAAGCGTTTGGCAATTGGCATATGCCAAATTTGCAATTCGAAGTTGCAAGTTACAACACAAAAAGGAAGAGGAGAGTAGAATCGTAGAAAGCAAAAAGAATTAACTCAAATGGTACAAGTTTGATTCCGTTAGGATTTTGAATTCAAGTTCACAAAAAATTTCTTTTAGAGAACTAGGCAGCTAGTCCTATGATAATATTAATATTTTCAATACGAACAGAATTATCTTCTACGAAAGAGATATGTGATTTATAAAAGGATTTTATAATTTTCATATTATACGAGAATAAGAAAATTCTTGTGTCACATAAACAAAAACAAAAAGTTAAGTGGAACTCATATATTAAAAAAATGTCATATGTGTGACGAGAATTGAAAGGTGTCCAAGAAAATTTTAATTCTCGTAGTTATAAAACTCTTTATAAATAATTTTTGAATAAATATTTTTTTGGTCCTTAGAAAATTTTACGATGTCCGTTTTAGTCCCTAGTAAATAAAAAAGCTCATCGTGATCATTAAAAAATTTAAAATGAACCCATTTAGTTGAAATCGTAGTCCTCACAAATTTAAAAAAGACCTATATTAGTCCCCACAAGGATTAAAATGGGTTCATTTTGAGTTTCTTAAAAACCACGATAAACCTTTTTATTTGCTAGGGACTAAAACAGGTATTGTGAAATCTACTGAGGACCAAAAAACACATTTATTCTAAATTTTTTTTGAGTAGAATGGTAAAAAGAAAAAGAAAAAAAGGTGACGCAGAAAGAGTAAAGTGTGGGAACCAAGCACAGGGCAAAGCCACTTTAATTTTTTGATCAAATCTAAACCCTCTCTTTGTTGCACTCTTCACTTTATCAGCGTGACACCACCAACCCAAGACCAATGTAAGTTGTTCTTCATCCTCTTTTTTCTTCTGTCTTTCTTTCTTTCTTTGTATTCATTCCAATCTTCAAAATTTGCACCAAGTTCCTCTCTTTACATCTTCTGTTGCTTCAAACTCTTCTTTCCCTTCCTCAAGATTGCACCTTTTACTCTTATGGTCATGGGACACACCATACCCCTCCATAGCTTTTGGCATCCATTCACACTCTTCTGTCTGATTCTTCTGTCTACAAACCCTTCTCACTCAATTGACATTCACCCACAAGACAAAATCTCACTTTTAAGGTTCAGGTTATGGATTCAAGACCCCAACCAAAGCTTGTCCAACTGGGTAGGGTCCAATTGCACTAGTTGGACTGGAATCACCTGTGACAACAACACTGGCAGGGTGGTTTCCATTAACTTGACCAGTTTGAACTTGTCAGGCCAAATCCACCCCAGTTTTTGTGACCTTTCATATCTTAACAAGGTGGGTTTGTCCCACAACAACTTCACTTGCCCTCTTCCTGTTTGTTTTGGAAACTTGCTTAACCTCAGAGTCATTGATCTCAGTCACAACCAGTTTCATGGTGGAATACCAGACTCTTTCATGAGGCTTAGGCACCTTACTGAACTTGCTTTGAATGGGAACCCTGATTTGGGAGGTTCACTGCCTTTTTGGATTGGTAACTTCTCTGCAAATCTGGAAAGGCTTCATTTGGGTTTCAGTTCATTCAGTGGAGGTATACCTGAGAGTTTGCTTTACTTGAAGTCCCTCAAGTATTTGGACCTTGGAAACAATCTATTGTCTGGTGTTCTGGTTGATTTTCACCAGCCTTTGGTTTTTCTTAATCTTGCTTCCAATCAGTTTACTGGTACTTTGCCTTGCTTTGCAGCTTCAGTTCAGTCTCTAAGTGTGTTAAATTTAGCTAACAATTCTATTGTGGGGGGACTACCTGCTTGTATTGCTTCCTTTCAAGCTTTGACTCATCTAAACCTATCAGGGAACCACTTGATGTATAGAATATATCCAAGGCTTGTGTTCTCTGAGAAGCTTCTTGTTTTGGACTTAAGTAATAATGATTTGTCTGGTCCTATTCCCAGTAAAATTGCTGAGACCACCGAGAAACTGGGCCTTGTTCTTCTTGACCTTTCTCACAATCAATTCTCTGGTGAAATTCCCTTGAAAATTACTGAGTTGAAAAGCTTGCAGGCCTTGTTCCTTTCTCACAATCTTCTTTCTGGAGAAATTCCTGCTAGAATTGGAAATTTGACTTATCTTCAAGTCATTGATCTCTCACACAACTCTTTGTCTGGTACCATTCCATTCAGTATTGTTGGTTGCTTTCAGCTCTTTGCTCTGATACTTAATAACAACAATCTTTCTGGGGTAATTCAACCGGAGTTTGATGCATTGAATATCTTGAGGATACTGGATATAAGGAACAACAGGTTTTCCGGTGCTATTCCACTCACTTTGGCTGGATGTCAATCTCTGGAGGTTGTAGATTTTAGTTCCAATGACCTTTCTGGATCGTTGAATGATGCAATAACCAAATGGACAAAGCTCAGGTATCTTTCTCTTGCTCAGAACAAGTTCAGTGGACCTTTGCCTAGTTGGTTGTTCACATTTGAAGCAATAGAAATGATGGATTTCTCACAAAACAAGTTTTCTGGCTTCATACCTGATATTAATTTTAAGGGGAGCTTAATGTTTAACACAAGGAATATCACTGTTAAAGAGTCATTGGTTGCAGCAAAAAGGGTTGAACTGAGAGTTTCAGTGGCTGTTTCTGATAGCAATCAACTCAGCTTCACTTATGATCTTTCCTCAATGGTTGGAATCGATCTATCCAACAATTTGCTACATGGGGAGATTCCAAGGGGCTTATTTGGCCTAACTGGCCTAGAATATATGAATTTGTCATGCAACTTTCTAGATGGACAGCTTCCAGGTTTGCAGAAAATGCAGAGTTTGAAAGCCTTAGATTTGTCACATAATTCTTTGTCAGGACATATCCCAGGAAACATTTCTAGCCTTCAAGATCTGAGCATCTTGAATCTGTCTTACAACTGTTTCTCTGGATATGTTCCCCAGAAGCAAGGGTATGGAAGATTTCCTGGTGCATTTGCTGGAAATCCAGATTTATGCTTGGAATCTTCAAGTGGAGTATGCGATGATGGAAGGATTCCATCTGTGCAAGGAAGTTCTTTTGGGGAAGACAGGATGGATGGACCAATATCTGTGGGTATTTTCTTTATCAGTGCCTTTATTAGTTTTGATATTGGTGTTGTTGTTCTCTTCTGTTCTGCTCGGGCAAGAAGTTACATTCTCCAAACAAAAGTTTGATTTGATGCTTGTGACAATGACAAACTTTCTCCTGCAAATTCCATTGGGTAGCTTTTTTCTCGTTTCAAGTAAGCATACACATTCTGTGATTAGGAATATGGTCTGGCCATCAACTTCATAGGTGTTCTCTTTGCTACCAAGTCCTCTCTACTCATCATTGCTGAACAAGTGTTCCAGAATTGACAGGACCAAAATGTCATGAGTTGGAAAAGGTTTAAACAACACTTTATGTCTCTGGCCTTATCTATCTGAAAAAAGACTATTCCTGCATAATTTAGCCGAGAAAAGAAAAGAATGGATGGCTATGGTGATGATTTGATCCGAGTAAAGACAAGTCCCGCATCATTTAGTTGGTTTTTCTCTTTTGCTGGAACTTGGTTGCTCAAATTTAAGATGCATCATCACATCCATTCAGATACCATGTTATTTATGTTCAGAGGGGACTAAGCAGGGAACATGCCTGATGTATAGTCTAGTTATGGTGAAATTTTGATCTTGGTTGTCAAATTGCATATTTACAAGCACGTTTACTTGGAGAGAACATGTATCATTCTAGATTAAGCTAGCTCTTTTTTGGGGTGGGAACCGAGACTTCCCTGTAGTATTTAGACTGCAAATTGATGTAGTGAAGAGTGGTAAGTGCAGACATGAAGATGAAATGTGTAGGTTCTCATAAATCTAAGCTTTTTACTGTCTTCATTGCCTCCATCTTAATACTGTGATTTTAAATAATATTCTCACGAAACTTTTTCATTATCGACAGGAACGAGGTTAGTTGACTTAGTTTTGTTGTCAAATGCTTAATAAAAGATTTAAAAAAAAAAAAATGTAGTTTACGAAGCCTCCTTTCAGCACCACAAACCGGAACAGTGTAACGCACATTATTAATGTGATTAATAGAGGATTGAGGAATGTGATAATGTTAGCAAATGAAAGTACAACTGTACAGAATGGACGAGTAGAAAGAGAATCAATAAACACTCATTTACTCGTTTGCATGGAGAAAATCCAAAACGATGAAGCAAATTTATTGATTATAATGATTTGTTGACAAAAAAAGAAAAAGAAAATCTAGCACATCAAGTACTCCGTATAGAACTATTAATAAGACATCGGGTTATACCAATCTCTTCTACCTACTTCCTCAGAGTACTTATGGTGTGCATGCAATATGAATGAGTTAAGTCACAATAATCAATAACAAAAAGCTGTACATGCCAGTTTCGAATACAAAGCGGATGGTCACTTCTATAAAAGTTAAAAATTGGAAGTTAATAACCCTGACCAACCCGTTAATCCTTAATTTATTACTCATCCCAAAAAGCCACATCCATTCCCATTCCTATCAATACGCTCCATGGTAGCCAAGATCAACCATAATCCATTTTAGCTTGTTTATGATTGCAGCACTGTTCTAATATTTGATAGGACCATCCAGGCTCCCGGATGCAAACTGTCACGACAAAACAAAAAATAACACTCAACAGTTATTAACATTATAATTTAAGGATGATTGCATCAAGTTATAAACAACCAATAAAAAGGAAAGAAAAGGCATAATAATTTAAGGAAGTTTAATTTAGTCCAATCATGAGGTCAAGCCTGGAACAATGGTAAAACTTGTCCTCTGTGACCGAAAGATCACGTGTTCGAATCCGAGAAACAGTTCTCTTGCAATATGCAAGAGTAAGATTGCATAAAAGGATTACCCTCGCCCCTATCCTAGTTTGATTTAATTTAGTCTAATCATCCAATGATCTGGCACAGCACAATGGTCTCGTTGAACTAGAAAAAACCAAGGTTTGAACAAATGGTTGCAGAAGATATCCAAACAAAAACACCCAAAAAGATTTATCTTTTTTGTCCTTCCCGCATATGGCCTGGCTTGAAAGCTGAATACAGATACAACTCAATATGTTGTTAACACCAGATAAAGCAAAATAACTTACCTGCTGAACAATTGGATTTGTTGAAGTTGTGAATTCATGAGTCATTCCTTCCCAAACAATCTTTCCGTTGTGTAAAAACAACAACCTGTATTTATGCAGTAACTTCTCAGATTAGGGTACATAAATGCCGGGTGAATTAAGAGGCTTCAGGCGACAGGAAGACATGCAACAATTATGAAAATATCCTTACCTATCAATGGCTCTTTTAATGGTACTATGTTGATGAGTAACAACCACATAAGATGCAATGTTCCCAGGTTTTCCAAGTGCATCTCGTCCTTTTACATGCACAGAGCGAATCAGATCCTCAACAACAGTAGATGCAATGGGATCAAGACCAGCAGTTGGTTCATCATACAAGAGCACCTGCACAGAAATGGACATTTGAGGTAAAATAGCTTGTAGAGAAAAAGACAACAGCAGAGAAGGGGAATCCATGGCTTGCATACCATCACCTGAATCTTTTCATACAATAAATGCATACAGAGCGTTCGTGTCAATATTTAAAGATGTCTAAGAACAAGTATTAAGTACAGGATGATCATGTCATTTATCACAAATGTCAAAAACAGTTGTACTGAGTTTAACAATGAACACATGAAGCACATTCAGCAAGGTTGCCTCTTTTAATTGCATCCTAAACCTCTAAACTGAGCTGTTACTTACAATGCCAGGTATAATGTTAAAGGCAAGAGAACAATAATAAACAACCAAAAGCATCATTTTCTAATCATGCCATCTGCTAAGTCAATGACAGAAATCCTAGGTAACCTAAGTAACAGAGGAACTACTAACACGGACTTATCCAGAGAGACTGTGACTAGGGACCTACGAATCTCAGCTATTAAATTTAGCTTTCTTTTAACCTATAGTAAAACAGAAATAACTTTCAGAAGACAAAATCCCTGTCTTACTGAAGTTACATATTTACTCCTCACATATATTAAAGACAATTTTACTAAATGTGGATAAAATTAATAAATTTAATTTCATGGTGCTTGTATTTATAAAGGAAACTCATATCCGAAGCAAATACAAGTTCTAAGACAATTCTACCTAGTAGTAGAAATTTGAAACATTTAATCAAGAACCACTTAGAAATGCCCTTAATCTGAGGGACGATTGGAGACTTTAGGATAGGGAAATTTTAGAGTCTAACACACCTCTGGCTCTATTGAATCCTGTGTGTTGTCAAAAATAATAGATCGTGCTAAAGCAACTCGCTTTTTCATCCCGCCTGATAACTCAGAAGGCATCCGATCCTCAACTCCCTATAAAAAAAAGGGTTGGGTGAGGAGTTAGTTTATGCGTGTTAAACATGATGGGCGTAAAATATGAACGTTATGCAACTTAAATGCAAGAAAGAAGACTGCGAAAATTAAGCTATCCAGATGTATGTATATGGAACAACTTTATCAATGGAAGAAAGAAAATTTATACTACTTCTGCTGCTCTTTAATGCAGTATCCACTGCGTAATTTTAATAGTTGAACCAAGTATTACACCCGTAAGATGCATACCTTTAATCCAACTGCAGCCAAGCTTTCCTTGACAAGATCTGATATCTGTTCCTCAGACATGCTTGAGTGTTCATATCTGAACAATTAACAAGGTCGGAAACAAAAAAAAAAAAAAGGATTGTAGAAGACAGAAAATCAATTAATCCATCAATTTCATCACCCTCTGGACAAGAATGTTAAAATGGAACTGAAACTTCAAATGCAAAATCAAGCTTGCATCTTACAAGAGAAAACCAACATTTTCACGAACAGTCAAAGAATCAAAAAGTGCTGCACTTTGGAACACCTGTTTACAGATAAATAAATAAATTACAATAAAAAAGTAATAGCATTTAAGAATGAGCATACTGCAGATTACTCCGAAACTTACTAAACCAATCCGAAGACCAGATATCTCATCATCGCTTATTAAACCAACTCTCTTTCTACCTCGAATATAAACTTCCCCCTGCTCATTTGACAACGATATCATTTCAAGAAGAGACCAAAGTTGTTTGAAATTAAAATCACACACCCAAATCAGATACTTACCTTATCTGGAGCAAGAAGTCCTGCAATAATCTTCAAAACTGTAGATTTGCCTGTCCCAGAGGGACCAATAATTCCAACAGCTTCACCATCTCTGATCTATTCATAATGTCAAAAAGAAAAAAAAAAACAGTAAAGAAATTTAGTAAGCTCCTAATCATTAAGGTCTTCTTCCATTTTTTTATTGACAACTAGTTTTCATTTCACAGACCTTTGCTCTAAATGAATTTATCGAAAATTTGGTTTTTGATAGAGCCCAACGAGGTTGTCTGTTTAGTATAACTGGGATCATGTTTGATTGTTGTTGTAAGAATTCATTATTTCATTTCATACTAAAATATCAAATTCCACATATTATCAAAGAAAGAGGCAAACCAAAACGCCAAAGGATATGGACAAGCATATAAATCACCTTGAAGCTGACACCATTTAAGATTTTCTTTTCCCCAAAAGACTTGTAGACTTCTCTACACTCAATAAGAACATTAGAATCAACCTCATGATCGCGCACCGTGCTTAATTGTTCTGATTTGGATGAACCCTAGCAACAACAAGCTTGATGTCAGCAACTCAGAGAAACAAGGACACATAAAAAACAAAAAAAAAAACAAAACTTTTTGATTGCCCAGAAATCCATAGTTAGTTAGTTACCAACCCCACCTTAAAAAAACAATAAAAAAAGAGAAAAACATGTGATGGGTTGAAGCAAAAAATGAAGGAACTTGCAATACATTGGTAAACAACAATAACAATCAATTTATAAACAAGAATGAAATATTACATTGAATTGAATGGCGGAAGAGTCTTGGCTTTTGAAGTTTCGCGGAGGAGCGATGCAAGCACAGACAAACTTTCTATGATCCTTACCGTGCTTCTTGTTGTAGAATGAATTTACCTTGTTTGCAGTGTGAAATCTAGTAGTAGTAGAAGAAGAAGAAGAAGAAGAAGAAGAAGCGTTTTGTGTAGTGAGGAGAAAGAAGGGGTTAGTTGATAGGGAAATCATGGTTAAAGCAAAAGTGAGTGAGCCTATTGGAATTGGAAAGAAATGGAGAGTGGGAATAATAATTAATAATAATAAAAATAATAATAATAAAGGTGTAGGTAGATTAAATTATGGGGTGGAAAGCATGTGATTCATATGGGTGGGTATGATTCATGGAGTTTGAAGTTTCAAAGTACACTCATAATAATGGTCAAATTGTGGAAATTGGTCGGTGATTTAGAGAAGGAAGCGAAGCCACTTTCCCAGAAGATGGTATCTTTGGGTTGGATTGCCTGGACCTGACTCTCTCTCTCTCTCTCTCTTCTGGGCACCAATCAAGGAACATGCTTTTACCCTCAACGAAGAAACCAAAACAAAACACCTTCTATCAGCTATCATCAACGCCTCTATGGGTACTCCAAAATCCAAATATTCGGCTTTGTTTTTAAGATTTTTTTTTTTTAACATTGAAATGTTGGTTAAAAGAGTTTTTTGGTAATAAAATTGGGTTTGTTATTTGTCATTTTAAATGACATGTTATCTGATTTTAAGAGATATGGATACAAGGAATAGAAATCATGGGAGAGAAAGTGAATGTTTTTTTTTTAATTTAAATTTTAAATAAAAAATATTTTCTTATGTCTATTTGTTTCTTAAAATGAGATAACTTTATGTTATTTAAAATGACAAACACTTGCGCCCGCTGTTCCAACCAATGAAGGACTAGCCTTTAGGGCCGTACCCCGAAGGCAAGGTGACCGGAGGAGGTTGAATGGGGATATCTCCATGTTTTTTTTTTTTTTTTTATAACAATATCTCCATGTTAATTACTACAAAAAATGACAAACACTTTTCCTAATAAAATTTCTTAAAATATTAATATGATCAATACTGTTACATCGGACTTAAGCGAAGAGAGAAATGATAAAAGTTAATTAAAATTTTAATCTAACGCTGTTAAAGAGTGATAGGTAAGGTAGACATAAAAAAAATAAGTAAAATAATGTATTCAATATATATGTGGGAAACTATTTGTCCTTTAAAAAGATCTAAGTATTTTAGATCATAACCGTTGATTTCTGTCTATCAACGGTTAGAATTTATTAGATTATATTGTGAATTACTAATTAATTAATAAATTTGACCAATAAATCCTAACCATTGATTAACAAAAATCAACGGTTAGATCTAAAGTGACATAAATTTAGATCCTTTAAAAGGACAAACATTTTTTCATATATATATATATATATAGAGGGTTATATTTAACTGATTTAACATGATATAAATCAAATTCCTACACACATAACAAATGTGGGTCTCACCACTATTTTTTCTCTAATTATTTGTAGGTCCCTCTTATAATTTTGTTCACTAACATAAGATAACTCATATCCAATAACATAAGAAGAACATTTCTTTTATATATATATATATATATATATATATATATATATATATACATATGAAATAATGTGTATCATTTTAGAGCACACAAAGTTGTGTCATTTTAAGTGTGAGAGAGAATGAGTGGGAAAAGTTTTAAAGGTGTGGGTCCCACCTCTTTGTGAAGTGAAAGGATATAAGATGTGTTATTTAAAATAACACATCTTTTTTCGATATATATACGGGAAACATATTTGTCCTTTAAAGCACATAGCTACGTGTCATTTTAATTCTAACCGTTAATTTTTGTCATTCAACGGTTAAGATTTATTGAGTCAAACTTATTAATTAAGTAGGAATTTGCAGTAAAATCCAATAAATCTTAACCGTTGACTGATGGAAATCAATAATTAAGATTTAAGATGATACAAACATATATATATATATATATATATATATATATATATATACCGCTTTATTGATTACCGGGCGGGTGACTCCCATTATTTTCTCCATTCTCATTTCTTTTTTAAAAAATATCATTTTAAAAGATATAATTTTTTATCATTTTAAATAAAATAATCATGTCTACTATATATTTATTGAAGTTTTTATATATTTTTTTTTTTGGTGAACTTTTTATATTTTCTTTTCTTCAAAACTCAATCTCTTTCTTTATCCTCTTAATTGATTGCAGAGAGAAGAAAAATATAAAATATTAATAAATATATAATAAAACATGATTATTAAATATAAAATTATGTAATTTAAAAATACTAACACTTAATTTTTAATTTTTTTTTTATTTCATAACCTTTGTCTCGTACTTGTCATCATCGAAGTTTTAGATATATGGCTGTTAATTTTACTCTCCTCAAAACCATCGATTTCAAACATCAAATATTGCTCCATAGTCCATACATGGTTTTTTAAGTTTTTAATTTTTTTTCTCCCTTAAAGAAATTTGATTATCAACTTTAACTTAAATGAAGAAATTGCTTTAATCTTGAGAGGATATGGAGATTACCTCTCTCGTTAGTGTCTTCATGTCTAGTAAGTAACCGAGCCGAGTCGACCTTTAATTTTAAAAGATTAAGCTTATATTTAAATATGTCAGTCTTACCAAGTCTGTTGGCTGTTATAAATATAATTATCGGCCTATGGTCTGACTTATTTACAGAAAATAAAAGTCTGGTTTAGCCTGACAGCATGTTTAAATAAAATAAGACAACAAAGATTTATCCAAACAAAATATACAATCAACAACACTAGTAATTTCATAAATATTCATAAATTCAATGTATATCCAAACAACATAATATAGAACAAAATCATTCAAAAAGTCTTTGTAATCAATAAAATGGGATGAAATGGATTGAAAAGAAAGAGAGGAATATTACAAACAGTATTAAAAATATAAAATAAAAATATAAAATAATATACTAAGCCAACCTGAAAGGCTATAAGGCCTTTCTATTAAACGAACTTTTATACAAGTTCAAGCCTGGTGCCAATAACCAATTTTAGACATGTAAGTTCAGGCTTTCACGAGACGAGTCAAAGGCTACTGATTTGTCTAGCACCCTTACTATTAAGTCTCCAAGTTCACTTCTGAATCTCTCATTTCTCTTTTTTTCTCTTTCTCTTTTATTTTTTTTTCTTTTTGACAAAAGATTTAGCCTTTAAGGATCAGATTTTTATTTTTAAAATATGAAATAATTGATTATTTGATATTTTAAAAAGTATTTAAAACTTTTAACATTGTTAAATGGAAAAGTGTTTGTCATTTTAAATGACATAAAGTTATGTCATTTTAAGAGAGAGATAGACACAAAATAATTTTTTATTTAAAATTTAAATTAAAAAAAAACACCCACTTTCTTTCTCCCATGATTTTCATTTTTTGTGTCTATCTCTCTCCTAAAAAGACATAACTTATGTCATTTAAAATGACAAACAATAGTTTACCAAAAAAAAAAAATTGACAAACAATAAACCCTTGTTAAATAATCTGTTATCTAAAATAATAATAAACTATTTGAGTAAATAGAAAGCATTAATTTCTTAACTCAAAAGATAATCATAATTTTTCATGATAATTGATTGTTATCAATAAAATTAATTTTAGTTTTTGGTTCCTGATTTTGATAATTTATTATGCATTCGCTTTTTCAATAGTTAATATAGATAATTTATCTATATTGTTCTCAAAATGACGTCGTTTTATGACGAAAATCAAAAATATTTTTGTAATTATAATTTATTTCAAAAATATAATAATTTTTTTAATTTTTAAATTAAAAACGATATTATTTTAAGAGCAAATGTTTATAGTTGTACACGTAAAAAAAATTCATGTGGGGTCATAATTTTTCATTTTTTGTTTTTTTCTTCTCCCCCACATTCTATTCACCATTTTGTTTTTGGTCGACGAGCGTTAACATAATAACGGTCTCGTCTCGAGTGTGTAATAGACCGCGAAACACCGAATCAGATCCATCCACCAGCATCGGTGGTTAACACGGTCGTTCATAATCTCCACCACCGCACGCAGTGGCAGATTCAGATTCAGATTCAGATTCAGATTGAACATGTTCAAATTCTTGAAAGAGGTGGTTGGTGGATCTGGAACCGGCCACAAGGATCTACCCTACACCATCGCCGAACCTTTCCCTTCCGCTTGGGGCTCTTGGACTCATTCCCGAGGCACCTCCAAGGTACACGACCACCTCCCTCCTTCTTCCGCTTCAAATTCAACACTGTATAATACTTCTATTTCACTATTTCAGGACGATGGTTCTCCAGTCTCAATCTTCTCTCTTTCAGGCTCTAATGCTCAGGACGGACATTTAGCTGCTGCGCGCAACGGCGTCAAGCGTCTTCGAACTGTGAGTTTCCAATTTCTATATATATATATGTGTGTGTGTGTTATTATTATTATTATTATTATTATTATTTTGAATTTTGGTTTCGATATGTGGATTCCTTCTTTTTCATGGTGCTATGGAATTTTTCAGGTCAGGCATCCGAATATTTTATCGTTTCTTCACAGCGCTGAGATTGAAACTTATGATGCCGGTTCTCCCAAGGTCACAATCTATATTGTGACGGAGCCTGTAATGCCGCTATCGGAAAAGATCAAGGAGTTAGGTCTTGAAGGTACACAAAGGTATCGGCTGAGTTATTGATATCATGCATGAAGTTCCAAAATTGGACCTAATCTGATGCGTAATACCTTTTCTTTTCATATAAGTGAAATGAGGTTTGTTTTATGCGTTGTTGGGCTTTGTAGGGATGAATATTATGCTTGGGGTCTGCTTCAAGTAGCTAAAGCTGTGAGCTTCTTAAATAATGATTGTAAACTTGTGAGTATTCGTGAGCCAATGTTGATTCATTTATTTATTTGCTCATTTGTTGTTTTTTCAATATTTCTTGACAAATTTTGTCTGTTGCAGGTCCACGCTAATGTTTGCTTGGCTAGTGTTGTTGTCACGCCAACTTTGGACTGGAAGCTCCATGCTCTTGATGTTCTATCAGAGTTTGATGGGAGTAACGAAACTTCTTCTGGCCAAATGCTGGTAATTTTTTGTGTTTGTTTGCAATAAGTTGACTTCTTGTTAGTGTTGGCATTGCTATTTGAATTTGTGGTTGCCCCCTTTTTTGAAATTCAGACATTAGCAACTCATCTAAATGAAATAATTACTCCACTTAAGAAAGTGAAAATTTCTTGGTATGAGCTTAAAATGCCAAGGTATGTTAACTCTTCGGCAGAATGAAATCAGTCATCTAAAACTTGTTCTCAAGTTTTGGCCATTTGTTACTTTACTTTACTGGTATTGTTTTGCATCCTGGATCTATCTTTATAAGCCTTTGGTAACATTTATGACAAAATTGACATTATGGATTCTCCCTCCTAACGGTTTGATATGGCTTTCTTTCTTTATTTTAAAAACAAAGGATATATAGTAGGGAGACCTAATATATTCCTACCACATTTTCATGCTTTCTGTACAGCAATATGCATGGCTTGTTGGATCACAATACAAACCAATGGAGTTGGTAAAATCAGACTGGGATGTAATTAAGAAGTCTCCTCCCTGGGCCATTGATTCTTGGGGCATGGGTATGTCATTTTCTGTTCCTTTTGTTGATAATTCATTGCAATAACAGTTGGCATATATGATGGAATGGAATTATTGCTAGCTGATGGTAACATGAGTTATTATTTCTTCTTTATTTTTCCTTCATATGTTCTTGCTTTTATATGGGCTCATCCACTGCCAACACCAACTAGTTTAAGATAAGTGTATAGTTTTATATTTATTATGTTGATGTTCTCATTTAGAACTAGCTTGTTCCATTGAGAGGATAAAAAAAATATTGTTATTTAGTTTGCGAAATCACACTAGGGTGTGTTTGGCAATTTTTAAAACTAGTTTATAATGTTACAAGATGGAACCGGTTAACACAAGGGCAGCCTAGTGCTATTAAACTCCTGGTATAACTTATACTTATACGACAAGACCATTCGATTAACACAAGTCCGTATACAAATAAGCCAGTTGAAAACTGGGGCATAGTTTGGTTCAAAATTACCATAAAACTAATTCTAATAATGACTCCTTTTATATAAATATGAAAGATGATGATTATTTAAATTAAAAAAGGTTAGCATGATTATTGACATTGGATGAATGATTGGTCCCTAACTATATCTTATCCAATGTCCCTTAGATCTAGATAGAGAGAGAAAGGAAGAATGAAACTGAATAAGAGATTCTGGAAAAATTTGGACTAGAAAAAACCAAATAGAGAGCAGGACTGTCAAACAACTAACTCTCCCAAAACAGCTTAAACTATTAGGTGCAAGTAAGTGAATAGTTTTATATTTATTATATTTCTAACACATCCCTTTATAGAGGTGGCAAAACAGGTACAACCTTCTGGGTTGGCCTGTTTAACCTACCACAAATGGCGGCCATTGAGTTGAGATTTTTAACCTGCCAACCTGATTCAACCCGCCTCGCATAAGAGGGGTCAAAACAAGTTCAACCCTCCGCGGGGCGGGTTGGCATGTTTGGTCAGCTTTTTTTTTTTAAACTGTTAAGTAATAATTTATTTGCCATGTTAAGCTTTTGTGATACCCAAAATTTTTATCTTAACACTCACCTAGAAAAAATAAAGAAGAAAACACTTTATTTATGACAAAGGTTATTCATATATTGAGACAAAATTGAATTCCTAGAGATTATTGAATTGAATGTTAACATATATTTAGGCTTGAGATTTGAAAAAATTAAGGGGAGTGTGAAATGAAATTAAATAATATTATAAAATTCATAAAATGTAATTTATTTTTAAATTTTTATGTTTTAAATGGATTGACCCGCCAACCCGCCATAAAACGGGACGGGTTGATATTTTCAACCCATCTTCAAGAGGCAGGCCAACTTGCCCTGCCGCGTTTTTGACTGGTTAGCGACAAATTGGGGCTGGCCGACCCATTTTGCCACCTCTACGACCCCTTACATAAGAGCTCATTGGGCTTGAAGGGTGAACAATGCATATACCCACTTACCTGTGATAAGAAATTCCGCAATTAAATATTTGTTAGAAGAACATAGGTTGCAAGGATCGAACTCTTGACTATTTGATTATAGAAGCTCTGATACCACTTGTTAGGTAACAGACGGGGGAGCCCAAACAGGGGAGGTGATAACAATGGGCTAAAATAAGGAAGTCAAACTAGAATATGTGAGCCCGACATCACTTCTTAACCCAAAACCTTAAAGCATTAGGTTTATGAGTCCTATCACTTATATGTTCCTTACTAAACTCATTCATAATTAATGTGGGGAATTAATTACTTATCACTCACACGTGCATTTCCAACAATAAGGACTTTTTGAGGACAAGTTTGATCTCATATTTAGCTCAGATAAGAATTAGTTTTTTAAAATTTAGGTAATAACCAAACAACCTAAATCTAAAAGCCTGTCCCAGTGTACCTAAATATCTTAGCAACCCCTAGTTTTCCTGCTTACATATTGCAGTCCAATTAGTAAAATTCCTCCTTGGCCCACTTATTTTGGGGGATTGGGTATGTTTCGACTTGCTTCTTTTGTTGAGAAGGGACAATAATGCCAATTTACTGAATTTAGTACTTAAGGAAGAAGGAAACAAGTTGAAACATCTTATATCTGCATTTGTGTAATTGTTTGATAATGTCTAATCTTTTCCATCCAAACATAATAAATTTGATGTATTTCAAAAGTTAATGTTTACGTATTATGTGAAACATTTTCTCTCACATGAAACGTCTCTAAGAATGTGTTCATATATTAAAAGAACCTGGCTACCTTTTGGAATTAGAAATTTTAGTTTAAATCGTGTCAACTTGGACAGATGTTGTAGGTTCACCGATGATTTTTTGTTAGTTTTTTTTCCATTTTGCCTTTCCATGTATACCTCTCTAACATATTTGAAATTCTAATTTTATAGGTTGTCTAATCTATGAAGTATTTTCTGGTTTGCGGTTGGGAAAAACAGAAGAGTTACGCAACACTGTCTCCATTCCCAAGGTGAGCATGTTTAGATTTTTTTGGGGATAAATTTATGACTACATGTTGAAGTTAAGGTTAGTCTGTTGGTTGCTTTTATGTTTCATTCTAATGAAATATTCATTTTTCATCTTCATATGTCTATTTTTTTGTCTCACAGTCTCTGCTTCCAGATTACCAGCGGCTATTGAGTTCAATGCCCTCTCGTAGATTAAATACATCAAAGCTTATAGAAAACAGTGGTGAGTGCTCCTTAATATATTTCTAGTTAATCATTTATGGAAAAATTATTTCACCTGACATCATAGTAGTTTTGCTTCTTTGTTTAAATCATAGTAGTTTTGCTTCTTTGTTTAAAGGATTCTTGTGTTTTGTGGTTTATCTTATAAGCTGTATAGTAATAGGATCCTATATATACATGATTACACGTATAAGAGAGATTGTGCATCAGAGAAATTTAATTTCAAATTTTATTGTGAAAAGGATTTATCACACACAGAATGGGACGGAGAAAAGTGAGGATCATTGTTTATATATTTAGTGATATTAGCACAATCTAATGTAAATTGATTTTAGCTTGTCCAAATTTTGGTGGGAATTTTTCTACCCCATGATCACTTGTAAAGATAGAAAATCTGCCTCAACTATCTATAACTCATTCTAAACATTTAGCTTTCTCGTTTTGATGGTTGTCATAATTTGTACTCCTGATATAATTCACTGCGATCCTTTCCTTGTATCAAGTTTGAGTTGGCCGCTAATGGAAATGCAGAATATTTTCAAAATAAGTTGGTAGACACAATACATTTCATGGAAATTCTTAGTTTGAAAGACAGTGTTGAGAAAGACACCTTCTTTCGCAAGCTTCCAAATTTAGCTGAGCAACTTCCTCGCCAGATAGTGTTGAAGAAGGTATATTTCTGTGGAATTTCTCATTATAAACTTCAAACCTTTGCTATCCAATTGTTTATGATTCTCATGTTTTTTATTTTCGCAGTTACTTCCTTTATTAGCTTCTGCCCTTGAATTTGGTTCAGCAACTGCCCCAGCTTTGACTGCATTGCTGAAAATAGGTTCCTGGCTTTCGGCTGAGGAGTTTAGCGTCAAGGTAAATATTTTATACCTTCATGTCAACCATTCTTTTTCCTTTCTTAAAAGTGCATTGTTTATCTCTCTTGCTCTTATTAATTAGGATTCAACCTCATTCTTGTATTGGATTTGTGCAGGTGCTTCCAACAATTATAAAACTATTTGCCTCCAATGACCGAGCTATTCGAGTTGCCCTTCTTCAACATATTGATCAATATGGAGAATCATTATCTGCGCATGCTGTTGATGAACAAGTATGAAGTTAGGAAGGATAAGATTGTTTTAATTTCTCTATTTCTTTATGACCTTGACAATTTCTTTACTGTACAATATACAAACATTTCTGTTGACAATGTGGATGCTTTTAAAATTCTTCTTTACACGTCTAATCAGGTATACCCTCATATTGCTACTGGATTCTCCGATACATCTGCTTTTCTGAGGGAACTGACTCTAAAGTCTATGCTAGTTCTGGCTCCAAAGGTATGTCTGTTATATATTGATATTAACGGATTTTGCTTATCTCTGTCTATTTTTAAAATTTAATGGTGTTACTGGTCTTATTAGAATGTCAAATACATAACATTTATAGCTAATTGGTGTTTGCATAGCATGTGTAATCTGGTTATTGTGAAATTTACATTAAAGAGATCTCTGTTTGAGGGGTAGGATGGCACTTGGAACATTATCTGTGTTCAGTAAGTTATTTTCTTTTCTAGTAAATGAGAGGTCTAAGTTGGGTCAGAGCTTGGGAAGTAGCACAGATATGCTATTACTCTTTGATCTACCTTACTGCTTCTTTGAATATGAATTTGCAATAAATGTTTGCCAAGATGTTCAGATATGGTTGTTGGAAATATTGATTACATAAATGAAGTGGAATGCACTTCAATGAGATGCATGGTGTGCCTCTGATTGATATTTATAATACCAAATAGTCATCGAGTTCTGATTGAGATGTATCTTTGTTGTTCCATACCCCCCCCCCCCCCCCCACCCACCTTTCTCTAAAATCCCTCCCAAAAAAAACTTGTCATCTATGTGATGAAACTTCACTGTATAATTGTTGTTTAAATGATGTTTGTCTCATAATTGCAGTTGTCTCAAAGGACCATTTCAGGGTCGTTATTGAAGCATCTGTCAAAGTTGCAGGTACTGCTTCAAACATTTCTGTATGGGGAATCAAATGGCTAGTTGCTTGTTCTGACTGAGAAAGTGATGCATAGACAAGGCTTTGTTTTACATTTTTTTTTTTTAGAAAAAGAAAATGAATAAAAGAAAAACTGTTTAGATTCTCTATCTAAGAACAACGAACATGGGAAACCGATATTATTTGCTTCTTTATTTCATGATTTTCTATCTCTAAAATCTATAACTTAGGCATTTTTTTGTAGGTTGATGAAGAACCAGCAATTCGAACAAATACTACCATCTTATTAGGCAATATTGGAAGCTACCTAAACGAGGGAGTATGATCCAAATGCTATCAGCAAGTTCAAATAGTATTTTATGTTTTATTTAATGATGTTAGCATATTTTTCTTTGGTGAATTAACTTAAAAGCTATTTTTGCAGACAAGAAGAAGAGTTTTGATTAATGCATTTACAGTCCGTGCATTACGTGATACTTTTCCACCTGCTAGAGGAGCAGGTATCAGAATCATACACGTGAAGCTATAACTCTTTTTCATTATTATACATTTCCTTCAATATTCTTTTTCACATAATTTTATATTTTGATTGTTCAGGCATTATGGCTTTATGTGCCACCAGCTCCTACTATGACATCACTGAAGTTGCAACCCGGATTCTTCCTAATGTTGTTGTGCTCACAATTGATCCTGACAGGTCATACTGATGAGATATTTCTTATATCTTCTATACCTTGTGAAGATGAGGAATTTTCTAGTATATTGATTTATCTCATTAATTAGTATTTTGGTGGCTTGACTTCTTTTTGGTGCTGTAATTTGATTGCTGCTTGATTCTTTTTCCCCCCTTTAAATTGTAATATTGATATCATCATGATGGATAATGTTGTTGTACTCATAATTGATCCTGTTGGGAAACAGAGCGTGTCTTTATGATGCGGAAGCGAAGTAAAAAACAGAGACGGAACATAATAATTTTTAATGTGGTAAACCCTTCAAATGGGAAAAACCACAGGACAATAGGTCTAAATCTTTCACTATAAACAATAGTAGGATTACAAGAATGATGTTCTTCCCTGGTACAACACTAGAGGAATTCTCTCAAATCTTCATGCACGTCAAGGATGGAATATAAAGTTTATCTGACACAAAGGTATCTCTTCATAGGAAGAGGAACTCCAACGCGCTCACTAGTGTTCTACTCTCTAGTTTGAGAGGATGACATCTCTCAAACTCTTCACCCAATGGTGACTATCTCATTTTCATGGAGGATTGCTCTGTCTCTCCCTCTTGGAGGATTACTCTGCCTCAACTTATTGATCGCATCTGTTCCCTTATTTATAGATGGCTAGGAGGGTTATCTTCAATGCTCTAGATTCTTCTCCATTTAATGTGGAGGATTTCAATACAACCTTTCATTCTTCCAGGAAGTCTTTTTATTTTTCCAATGCATAGAAACTTGAAAGGACACTAATCTTTCATAGTCCAATGATGTATCTAATTAAGGAGAATTAACTCCAACAAATCCTCATACTGATGAGTTATTTCTCATATCTCCTTTACCTTGCAAAGATGAGGAATTTTCTAGTAAATTGATTTATCTCATTAATAACTATTTTTAATTGGTTGGCTCATCTTTGTGTATTGTAATTTATTATTGCTTGATACTCAACCCCCCCCCCCCCCCCCCAAACAAAATAAATAAATAAATAAAAAATTATAGTATTGATATCCTCATGATCGATCTTCTTTTATATGAGTATTTATATTTATATTTGTGCTATGTGATGCTTTGCTTGATCTTTTCGGTCTTTTAGATTCTAAATAGATATCTTTCTTATTTGTTGTACCGTTGGTTATTTCTTGTTTGTTGAGGCACTAATTATATGATGCTCTTGTCATGCTATAAACAGTGATGTTAGAACGAAGGCATTTCAAGCTGTTGATCTGTTTTTGCAGATAGCAAAGCAATATTATGAAAAGGTTTACTCTGAAATTATTTTTGGCTATTATTCAGTTGCATATCATTGTTCTGAAACCAGCATTTAATGTATATCTTTTAGAAGAAATTAGGAGTAAGGGCAGATTGAATTTATAACATTTTAAATAACCTAATTCCTAATTTATTATCAATTCGTTTCTAATAATACATTTTTTTACTAATAATGTCCTTTGTTAAATTTCTAATTAAATAAAAGATCCTTTATTAGAAGGAAATCTCTTATGTTAAGAAAGCACAATTATATAGACTAATAATGTCTTTGATGGTGATCATCATAGTTTATTGACCACTTTCTGAGTTTAACATATTTTTTATGGTGATCATCTTATGTGATGCTAGTGTTCTTATCTGTTTTTTTTTTTAAAGACAAATGCAGCAGATGCTACTGGTGGTGAGGGCATGGGAATCTCATCAATTCCAGGAAATGCAGGTTTACTTGGGTAAGTCAGTCCAAACTGTGTGGCTTGACAGTTCACATGTTAAGCAATGGAGAGAGAGAGAGCTAGAGTATCTATATGAGCTTCTGATGTTAGATTACAATGCGTTAGTATGTTTGGATTAACTTATTTTGCATTCAAAAATAACTTTTCAGTAAAAAAAATTTCTTGAGTATTTTCCATTCACGAAAAGCTTAACTGTAAGCCAAAGAGCTAATTGAAACACTTGTGTATGTTGTTTTCATTTTTACTTTTTAATATTACAGTGTCAATTAAAAATGCACGTAATAATAGCTAAGTCTTGTTTACCTTCTTACTATGAGGAATTTTATTAGTAATGTTTTCTATAATCTATCTTAAACTCTTTAATTTAGTGACCATATATAAAAGCATGATAAATAGGGAAGATCAGTGATGATGATTAGAAGCCTGCATTTGACTTCTTTTTGATAGTATACACGTGCATGTATATACTTTCATACATATATATATATATATATATATATATATATGGGCTTTTTGACCCTTTTGACCTTCATTAATTAATTAATAACCATTTTCCCCTTATCCAAAACTATCTACCAATCTGCCCCTCTTTGATCGATTAACTTGAAGATTTAATTGATTAAATGGTCAAAACTGGCAAAAATGGTTGACTTGAAAATTTAATCGATTAAATATCTCTCTTAATCGATTAAATATCCCTCTTAATTGATTTAATCGATTAAAACTTATATTTAATCGATTAAATATCCCAAATGAGCTTGAAAGCATTGATTGAATGAGACAAACACGGTATTGTAGGTTATTTGAATTTTGAATTTAATGTAATAGGAGTTGATTGCGATTTGTATTTAATAGGAGCTGATTGTGGATTGCGATTTGTATTTAATAGGAGCTGATTGCATCCTATTAAATACAAAACGAAATCAGCTCCTATTAAATTCAAATCGCAATCAACTCCTAATCTCCTATTACATTAAAAATCGCAATCAACTCCTGTTACATTAAATTCAAAATTCAAATAACCTCCAATACACGGAAAACTGATTGAAGATTCTGCTAAGTATTTTTATGATGAATATGCAAGACGAGAAGGGTTCGTTGTTCGCCTTGATCGCTGTAATCATTCCGAGATTGACAATAGGATCACTTCGCACCGTTTTTCATGTAATAAGCAAGGTTTTCATGTGAGAGGTAGAAATGGAGCCAGGCCTGTTCATGTAAATCAATCCAGTTTCCAAGAATCGTTTTTCTTTTCATGCTATTGCTAAATCAAACCATTAACAGTGTTTGCATTTGCTTATCCGTGCATAAAGACAAAAAAAAACACCGTACAGATAGATTTTAACCATCAACCAATACATTGGAACTCAAATTCTCTCAAAGAACTGAAAGTATTTCATATTTTAAAAAAAAATAAAAATAAAAATTCTCAATTTCCAAGAATCGTTTTTCTTTTGTTGGTTTCTTTGTTTGTTTGGTTATCTATGCTTGTTGATTTGCTTCATATGCATGGAATCTGCTTTTGTTTATGGAGGAGATTTAACCTTTGTTTCCTGTTGGGAGATTTAATCTATTAACTTGAAGATTTAATCGATTAAATCTTCAAGTCAACCATTTTTGCCAGTTTTGACCATTTAATCGATTAAATCTTCAAGTTAATCGATTAAAGAGGGGCAGATTGGTAGATAGTTTTGAATAAGGGGCAAAATAATTATTAATTAATTAATGAAGGGTCAAAAAGCCTGCAAATATGTGTGATATATGATTTTACTGTATGAGAGACTCTCTATTCTGGAGGTATATGAATAGATTCCAAATTTACAATAAATTGGTAGTGAGGCAGTATTCTGTACATCTACCAATTTCACGCGGTATATTAACCTCCTACAATATATGCATTTTCATCTAGAAATTGGTTCTGATTTAACTCTTTTCATCATTCAGATGGGCTATGAGCTCTTTGACCTTGAAGGGTAAACCTTCTGATCATGCTCCAGTTGCTTCTATGAGTTCAACTGCAATTGGTTCTGTGAGTTCGACTGCAATTACTCGAACATCTTCTAACGGCAGCTCAGGTATGCCTAATCCTAACTATGAAACTATAAGAGAAAGGAGAAAACATTGAACATGGAGCATGACCTCACTGTCTCTGTTCTCTTAGTTATTTTGAATATGACTTGGTTATTGCATATTCCTCTTAATATATGTGTTTATCATTATACCCTCTTATGTCCTGTTCTTCACTTCTTCCTTTTGATCTGCTTGGCAACTAGCTCTTGATTAATCTTTATTTTCTCAACCGAACAACTTCAAATCTTGGCATGATTTCAACCCTCTAACCAGCCAAATAATTAAATGCAATGCTTTTGTATCCAACTCTAGTTACTTGTACTCATTTCATTGGATAATGTCAAAATTCCTGATGAACAACTGAGCGCCAAATAGGGAATCAACCTTAGCAATGACCGGTAGGAAAAGTGCTTTATGGATTTTTGGTCTCTTTCTCTCTCTCTTGTAAGATGGTAGGCAGAAACTTGAGCCACAGCTACTATCATGGGGTGAAATCAGCAAACAGTGTGGTGCATCAACCTTGGATCTTTGTTTCTTAGTTGTCCATCATCAGGTCCAGTGCACCACATACTCCGCCTTTAGAGAGAAAGGTTTTCTGTTGTTTAAGGGGTTGGGGCCATAAAATCTATATCTGGCAAGTTTACTTGAAATGGTTTGTCTTATTTATTGGGACCCCAAAAATTCTAAAACTGACTATACCTAGCAGATGTGATTTTGTATTGATTCTTAAATGAAGTAAAAGAAGGGAATAAAACTGGAAAAACTGTTGGGGGAAGGTACAAACAATCAAAGATCTCACCGTTTATCTCCATATCCTTTTTCCTAGAGGCAAAGCTTGATGATGCCTTCGTTCATTCTGCTTTTTCAGGCTTGTTTCCATGAGTACATTTTTACATCAATTTACCCTGGGTTTATTTCATTTCTTTTTTGGGTTAATTTAGGCATAGAGACGCCATCAACAGCACCAGCACGTGTAAGCTCTACAACAGATTTGGCTGAACATCCTGTCCCTACGTCCCCTACATCAATGGATGGCTGGGGAGAACTTGAGAATGGAATCGATGATGAACATGAAAGTGAGAGGGATGGATGGGATGATCTGGAACCACTTGAAGAGACAAAGCCAACTCCAGCTCTTGCAAACATCCAAGCAGCTCAAAGGCGGCCAGTCTCTCAACCTATGTCACAGACAAAACAAGGTATTCTTTATTTCTCTGTTAGTATTTTGGTGCAGATTTCAATGTCTATAAGCTACTAGTTACTATTGCTTATTTTCAGATGTCCAATTGAAAGTTATTTTCTATGGTTAACAAGTTGAAAAACTGATAAATGTTTTATGCCTATAAGTAATAACAAAATCCACAAAGTGATTGATGTGAGTGAGTATAGGAATTCCTAATTCAAGTTTGCACCGAATGATGGGTTGGCATTTGTATCGAATGACTGAGTACCGGAGTTTTCTCTCACTAAGAAATGCACTTTGTTATTTGTTTGGATGGTATTATTACTGAAGAAAATACTTATACTGTTTTAGATGTGCTGTTGCCTTTTTATGTTACATGTACTTGAAACTTGAAAGTTCTGACAATGTCCAAAATGCAGAAGGCATATTCCTAAGTATTCAATTCATTTACCTGTTTCATAACATGTATATAGAGGATATGCATTAATTGCATTTGTTTTAAATTATTATTATTTTTTAGCCTCAAGTTTGCTATCCAAGAGTACACCGAAATTGAGCAATGATGAAGATGATGGTTTGTGGGGTTCTATAGCAGCTCCTGCTCCAAAAACATCAAGGCCTATAAATTTGAAATCAACTAGAACTGATGATGATGATCCCTGGGCTGCCATTGCTGCTCCCGCACCCACTACTAAGGTCAAGCCCTTATCAGTTGGCAGAGGTCGGGGAGCCAAACCAGCTGCTCCAAAATTAGGAGCTCAGCGGATAAACCGGACATCATCATCAGGCATGTAATCCAAATTGCCAGAGAACAAAAGGAGTGAGGAAGATTTAATATGCAAGTTGCCTTTTTCTTCTGGTGGCTGTGGTCATGTTAAAATACAAAAATCCGTCTCTTTATGATGTATGAATTACATTTGTGATTTTTGTTGACATAATTAATTTGTAATGCTATTCTTTCATATGTCAAGAATGTCATTTAAAGGTAAATCCTTTGGGCTGCTGCTTTTGAGTTGTAAGACAACAGGGCAATGTCGTTTAAAGGAAAATCCTTTGGGTAGCTTCTTTTGAGTTGTAAGACAACAGGGCTGTAGTATATTTGGTATATATATTTTGGGGCATTTTAACATTTTTTCGGATGAACAATAAACGTTTAGATGTAATGTAATTAGTTTCATATTATGGTTTTGGAAAGGTTTTGATTACTGGACCTACTTGGACTTATTTTGTATGTTCAAATTTTGTACACTTTTCATATATCATATCATTTTTTTCACGGTAACCATGTGTTTATTTTTGATTGGGGGTAGTGCGGTGAATGTCAACAAGACTAAAAATTTTGGGTGTAAAGACTAAAATATAGCATATTTGAAGGTCTTTCAACATGTTAGGTACTGACTGCTTTTGGCAGTGCTTGGTCCTCCAACCTTACTCGGCCTCGCCGATGCCACTCAGGCATCGGCATGGTTCCATCAATTGCATTTCTTTAACCACGTAGGTGGTCCTTTTTTCTTTTCCCTGTCATCGTCATAATTATATACATGGCTAGTTTCAAGTTTTAACTTCTAACAAATGGTGGTTTTAGTTCAATTGTTTATCCCGTTTTCTTGTTTGACGAATTCTTAGGTTGGAATTATTAAGCACTGAATCAATTATTGACATGTCTAAAAGTAATTTTTTAAAAAAATGCATTTTTAGGCAAGAATTTATTGGCCAAATAATATACTTCAGGACAACTTTTTATTGACAATGGCTTCTGTGTTTAATATTTTACAATAAGATTTTTTTATTTCTTTTGAGTATTATGCAGAAGGAAATTTGCTAGCATATCATTTGCAACGTCGCTGCGTTTTTTTTTTTTTTTTAATAATCTCTTGAAATAAAAAATACGACATTATAAACTTCCTTGTAACTAATTAATTGACTCAATAATCGCTAGAAAAAATAAGTCATACATCCCTTTGGTCCATTTGTTTAGCATCAATTAGGAGATTCTATTTTACTTTTAAATTCAAAAATGCTATGCACCACGGATTGCTCCAAAAATTCCATGGGAATAAAATAGTAAAATGCAACATTTGATCCAAAACATATATAAGAAAGAAAAAAAGAAAAAAAGAAAATGCATTTAAGGCCCCAAGGTATGGAAGTCCACATGTAGTACTGAACTACCACCATCCAGCCCACCCTAACCAACTCACCAAAACAAAATGGAAACAACTAAGCCTTTTATTTTTTTTGATAAACAGCCTTTTATTTATTCAAATAAACAAATATTCAAAACTATATTAATAAAATATTAAAAGGTGCATTAGATGTGCTGTTATAACCATGTACATGCTGAAATTCATTTTTAATTAATGGGAAAAATATCTATCATTTTAAAGGATATAAGCTTATATCATTTTAGATCTGAACCGTTGATTTTCGTCCATCAACGGTTATAATTTATTGGGTCAAACTTAACGGGCTAAATTTATTATTAATTAATTAATAATTTTGATCCAATAAATTATAACCGTTGATGGACGAAAATTAATGATTAGAATCTAAAATGATATAAATTTATAGATATAATTAGAGGGTTTGTTTTTTCTAAAGTTACTTTAGATAAATTTATCTAATGTTCATTGAAACGACGTCGTTTTGGGACGAAAATCATGGCGTTTTTGTAATTTTAATTTATTTCAGGGTTATAATAGTCTTTATCATTCTAAATTTTTAATTTTTCAATCCCAAAACGACGTCGTTTTAATGAACATTAGACTAAATTGTCTAAAGTAACGTGAGAAACTTTTTTTCTATTAGACTACATGTTCTCCCAAATGGTTGCAAGAATAAAGAATACCTTGCCTAAAACGTGTACGTGATTCTTATATCTCCGAATATTAAAATGGGGTATGGTCTAACTAAGGGATAAAGGGAATATATAACAGAAGAAAAGAAAGAAAGTGGAAGGAATATATGCAGTCAGTTATAGATGAATTAGGAAAATGGTGTTATTGGAAGTGGGAGTAGTACCCTCAATCTGTTGTTTGTTCCACACTGGATTTAGAAGACCAACAACAAAACATTTGTATCTCCACTTCAGATTGAAACCCTCACTTTCAAATTCAATAACAAACATGGCATTGACGAATAACAACAACACCAACACCAACACCAAGAGGAAGCTTCCAATTCTGCTATTTGATATCATGGACACCCTTGTTCGTGACCCTTTCTACCAAGATGTCCCTGCCTTCTTCGGAATGTCTTTCAAGGAACTCATAGATTGCAAGCACCCTACAGCCTGGCTTGAGTTTGAAAAGGGTTTCATTGATGAGGTAAATAAAACTCTTCATAATTCACTGCAAAATTATGGACCCTCTTTCATATTATGTATAAAGTTCAAAACTTTTAATACAAATTCAATTTCTATTTGGATTTTGAATTGGATTGCACATAGGGTGTTTTAAGGGAATTACATATCTTTCAATCTTATGCCATGTATGCTTGGTTCCTCCTCAACATTTTATATAGCCATATCTGGGTAATAGGTCATTTTGAATCTTCTAATCTTATGTCATATTTGCATGTCCCTTATCTCTCTCTCTCTCCCACCCCCTCTTTTTTCTTTTTCTTTTTGGGGTTGGAGGGGTTTTATTGCTGTGGTCTACATTCATCACTTTCTGATTTCTTACAACTTCTGCATAGAATGGTTTGATTGTTTCTACTTTCAAAAACACATTTCTTATCAATCTGTCTCATTTTCTTCCAGATGGAGCTGGCAAGAAATTTTTTTAAGGATGGAAGGGATTTTGATTTAGAAGGTTGGTCTAAGATTTTGTTGCTAGATAGAGCTGATCACTTAGTATTAATCATGTATGTGGTGAACTAAACAGATATAACTTTATCATACCCTAGATTACTAATTTAATTTCATACATTAAAAATCTCATTTTTTAAGAATTGCAACTGGCATATTTCGAATATTTTAGTCAAAAGATCAAGCTGATTCAGATGTGTTACAGATTGGCTACGGTTCTTCCATGTGGTCTAGAGTATTATATCCACTCCAGAACATGTTAGCTTTCTTGTGACTTTTGTTTTACTAAAAAAAAAATTTCTGGTCCTTCTGGAAGTTGTAACAGTTAAGTTTCTCCTTGAATGCTCAAGTTGTTGACTGAGCAGTTACTCAATAGCAGTCTGACATTGGAAGTTGAAAGAATCTTTAAGTGAACTTATGTCTATACATGACAATTATTGGGCTTGCATTAATTTCCTTTTAGTTGATTGCTTGTTTGTTACTTGTTCTACCAATACTTGCCATAATCTTGTAGAAACTCATAATATCATAATTAAAAAGAGTTTGTTTTGATACAAAACATGCGGTTAATGGTAATTATGTTTTGGATTGTTGTTAAGAATATTGTATATTAATACTGTTCATAGCGTGAACAGTACTAGCACTACAATGCCATGAACAAGACCCCATCCCCCAATATCTATGGTTGTCGTTAGCCTCCCTTGTACTGTATAATACTATTTTTATGTGCTAGTAGAGATAGGTCTATATTTTGGGTGTCAACATTGAAATTCAATAAGAGCACTCCTAAAGTATGCTGAATGTATCATGCTTGTGCTCCAAGTGCCACTCTGTTTTGATAAAGCTACTGACTTCCATGTTTGTTTCTAATTTTATGACAGGCCTTAAAACTTGTATGAGAAGTGGATTTTCATACATAGAAGGCATTGAACAATTGCTTCTTGTCTTAAAGCAACATAACTATGAAATACATGCATTTACAAACTATCCTATATGGTAAGACAGTTGTTCTTCTATTGTGATTTCTGTTTAGCTTTTCATGGCATTCTACAGAATGTATTTATTGTAGGTACCAGTTGATTGAAGACAAGTTAAAACTATCAAAATATTTATCTTGGACATTTTGTTCGTGTATACATGGTATATAATACATAATCTTTCTGCCATTTATTAGGCTCTTTCTTTATGCCTTTTTTGTTGATTATCTTTTTATTTGATATTATCTAGATTCTACTATATCCTAGTTGAGCTTTATTGTTTGACTAGTGAGGGTTGAAGTATAAATTCAAACTATCATATCATGGAACCTTATAGACCACCCTTTTACAATGTGTTTCAGGAAAGAGGAAGCCTGATACTGAATACTATATGGAAGTTCTGAGTCATCTTAAAGTTGATCCAGCAAATTGTATTTTCGTAGATGACAGGTTCTTACTCTTTCTATATGGCAGATCATTTATTAAAATCAAACCACGATCCCGTTTATCATTTATCATATATTGGTGTGTATGCATGCATGTGTGTCTATATATATATGTGTACTAGCATCTTGTCACACAATGCCAATTTCTTTCTCTCTATTTTTCCTGAAGAACACACGTGTGATCCCAGCAGATTATTTCTTTTTACTCCTTCACATTCTGTTAAAAGTGTGTATGATTTACATGGTTATTGTCTCAGGCAAGAGAATGTGGAAGCAGCAATTGAAGTTGGCATCAGAGGTGTACATTTCAAGAATGTCAATGTACTGTGTGAAGAATTGTCATTGATGGGGATTGACATATCAACAGATGAAGATTGATAGCTTATTTTCTTTGATTATTTGTCTTAAACAACACCAATTTATTTTTCCTGGTCGAAAGGGTATATAATATACCATTGTTAAAATGACTTCTGAATTTTTTATCCTTACAAGGATCTTTCTTGATCTTCTCAGCTATTAAGTGTGCTTATAGGACTGAGAATAAACTCGGTGTATAGACTCAATATAAATTGTATAGTTGTGCCAGATAACTTAAGTCAATTGGCATTCCGTGATTTGTATAAATGTCAAAAGGTGCCTCATTGGAGTAAAATCAACAAAAGATTGTGCCAATAATATTTTAATAAGTATGAATATTAGTTAAGAAACATTAAATATTATTCATTAGTAATAGGAGATAGCCAAACATATTTTTTTTTTCTCTCTCCAAAATCAAGTTTTATATGGTTCATTTGGCGTTTGGCTAGGCAAATGCTGAAATAAACACACGTATAAATCGAGTGGATACCTGCATAAGTAATGGGGAGCTCATGCTTAGAGCTTGTCTGTCACTTTTTATTTTTTTTCAAGTTAAAAGTTATTTTCAAAATAAAATTAAAAAAAAATCTTTAAAAATAAAGCTGCGATTAGTTTAATGATTATATAAAAACTTTAACTTAAAAATTATTTAAAAAAACAAATATTTCAAAAAAAGCTGATACAATTTTAAAATTTTTCCTCCTAATAGTTTTTGATTTTTGGCTCTCTTTTTTTCATCTATTTATAAAGAGAAGAGAAGTTAAAAAAAGACCTCTCAAACTGACATTTACTGTTACAAGAAAATTTGTATCTTTATCTGATAACACTTGAAAATATATTATTCAAATTCTTGTTGCTAATGTTTTAAAATGGGAGTGGGATCGGTGGGAGAGGTTGGTTTCAAAAAAAAAAAATTCATTTGAATGTAGGAGGATCAAATTGGTTGAAATCTTATTTGAATTCATGTATAAAGAAAATGTTTAAAAAATTAAAGAAAACGTATAATACTTTACTTAGATGATATAGAAGAATTACTTTTTAAAGATAATTATAAGTATATCTTTCTGAATTCCATACCTAAAATCAATTCCAATCCCCAAAGAAGAAAGAATATCTCACCCGACATTTCTTTTCACAAATTGTGAAAAAAATTAAAATCAATAAAAAAGAAAATGGGATAGGAATAAAAAGAGAAAACAAAGGTAAAAATAAAATGTAAGGGCTTAGTTATTTTCAATAATAATAATCTCTATGGTATTTTATGTAAATAATTTAATTTTAACAAACACAAGTCTAATACTATTTTTAAGCCAAAATTTAGTGACAAAGTAACATATTGTATTAAAAATGAATATGTGATAATTACGGGACCTTATTTTATAAGTATTATTATTTACAATAACATAATATAATAGTGCTTAATGAGACAAAGAGGGTAGTAGTTGAAGTGAAAGATCCAACCAAAAAAAAAGAAAAAGAAAAGTGAAAGATATTTGGAGGAAACTGTGGTGTGTGTGTTTGGAAACAGTAGAAACATGTCGTGGTGTTGGAGCGTTAAGCCTTTTCAGATGCAGTTTCAGTTTCAGCCAAGAACAGCATCGTCGTTCCACTCCCACGTTGTTGGAGTAACAACCTCAACACTCTCTCTGCCACACCGTTCTCCTCTTGCTTTGACTCACAACAACCTCAGTTTCCACTTCCAACCCAAACTCAAACGCACTTCCACAACCATTCGATGCTCTTCTGGTAATGTTATCCCACTTTTCCTTTCTTGGGTTTTCATTTAATCTCGCAAAAGTTACAGACTTTGTAGTTTTCATATGAATTTGACTCACAATTCACAATTCACCCCAACCCCCTTTTATGGATGGATAGCTGGAATTCAATTGATTTTTCAGTAACCTCAATAATATTTGCTATATTCAATTTTAGGAGTTGATCCACTTATATCTAAGAATTCTACTTTATGCAGTTATGAAAGTCCACAAATAATGATAAATGTTGATTGACGGAAATCAAAATGGTTAAGACGTGGTCGTAACATTGTGCGTAATATTATTTGTGTGTCACAGTATCCTATCCCTATATATATATATATATATAAAAGAAATCTTACTTTCACTCTCACCGGTAATTTGCATCCATCTAACGGATATCATTTATTGAGTTATACTAGTTAATTAATTTTTAATTTCAAATAAATGACAACCGTTAAATGAATGGAAATCAACAACTAAGATAGGGGAGCATATATATACATATATATTGACTTCGGCATAAGACTAAGAAGTCTTAGTCCTCGTCTTAACATTTGATTTTCGTTATAGTTTATTAAGTATACCAATTAATTAATTATTAATTTCAAATAAATTAAAACCGTTATACGGATGAAAATCAATCCCTGAAATCAAACGACTATAATAAGTCTTATACTCAATCTTAGCCGTTGAATTTCGTCCATCAAACGACTATAATTGATTGAGTTATTTTCATTAATTAATTATTGATTTCCAATAAATTTTAACTGTCAGATGTACAAGAATCACCGGTTAAAATTTAGTTTAAGATTTATTATTCTTAACACTGGTGTAAGAATGTCTTGCTCCATATATATAGTACAATAGCAAAAAATTACAACTTGGATTTTTGGTTTGTTTCAGCGTTGACTCCTCAGTTGAAGTCTACCTTGGATAAAGTTATTACTTCAAATAAGGTAGTTCTTTTTATGAAGGGAACTAAGGATTTTCCACAGTGTGGATTCTCAAACACGGTGGTGCAAATATTGAAGTCTCTGAATGTGACTTTTGAAACCGTAAACATACTTGAAAATGAGATGTTGCGCCTAGGACTGAAGGAGTATTCTAGTTGGCCTACCTTTCCTCAACTCTACATAGATGGAGAGTTTATTGGTGGCTGTGATATCACTGTTGGTATGTCACTCGTGTTTTTGGTTTTGATACTTCATTTTGCCTCAGTCATTGTTTTCTACAATAATGGCCTGAGCCTCATTATTCAATGCTGGCTTGGTTATATTTGTTAACATACATACCTTGTTTTTCTGATGCTTGTAGAATTTGGTTTGCTTCCCTGATGGACTGTGTATGGATAATTCTAAATAGGAGAGCCAAAATAGATAAATTTCACATTTTACATTTGAACAAAGAAATAAGAAAACCAAGTTGTTACTAGTAATTATCATATTAATATATGGAAATATTGTTCTGGGATTAGCCTGCAACTTCCTTCTCATTCTTTGGAGATTGAAAATTCAATAGCTTGAACCTAAAATGAATTAAATGAAAAATTAGATTGCCAAAGCTGACTAGATTGATTCAAATGTAACATTGCAATAAAGTTTCATGCCGGTGACAGAGGCACTGTTTTAATATCAGCTATTGCGAAATTGATGTTTACAAAATGCCATTGAACACATATTAATATTTGTTTATTGAATGATTTGTTACATATACATACCTTCCTTCTTATTGATACATAATAGTTGAAAAGAACAAAATACAGGTCCTCCAGCTTTCATAAGTTGTCTCTGCTGTTATAATTGACTGCATAAGAATCAGTTATTAGGTTTGTATTTTTAATATTAGATGAGACCGTATTATGACCATCACTTGATTTCTAGAAAATACTTTTCTTACACTCACTTTTTCTTTGGCTACAGAGGCATATCAGAATGGACAATTGCAGGAAATGTTGGAGAAGGCAATGTGCTCCTGAAGTCTCATTGCTCAAAGGCAGAGGGAGGGAATGATGAGTTAGGGATGAGAACTTTCTAAGTTAGTAATCCTCCCGAAGTTATGCTGTGGCTTGGAAATAATGGACCAAATACATTGTCTGATACATTTTATGGCCTCAAGCTTCTATTACGAGTAATGCAATACAAATATCTTGGTATTTGAGTACAAAATAGAGAAGTTGATTGACTTGAAGATCTCATTAAATAGACTATTATAGTAATAGTTGCAAGTGCAAACTATGTTCAATTAATTTTATTTTCCAGCTTTTGTGAAACTGTCATGTTGCTACCTCGTGAAACTGTCTCGTGCACTTGATTACACCCTAAGATAGTTAATGTATAAAATTCAATTCAATACAATCAACTTATGAAGCTTAATGTGTCATTGCACATGAAGGGAAGCTGGTGAGACATACTATTGGACATGCCATTAAAGGAAAAGAGCATATTTTTTATGTTTGACTATGCAATTAGAACTCATAATAGTATAATGAGAGTTTGAAAAGATTATCTATGAGATAATAATTTAGTATGAAGATATTATCTGTATGAGCCAATTCTATAATACACTATCAAGTAATGGTGTATCGATACAATCTCTTTAAAAACAATATCAAGACATAATCTATATGAGCCAATTCTATAATACACCATTAACCAATGGTGTATTGATTCAATCTTCACCTTTGATTTTGTTTTCGTAGATACAGATAGTTGTCAAGTTGTCCCTCTTTTATATTTTAATTTTACATGTTCCTGTTCTTTAAATATTATATTTATCTTATTTTTAAAATTCATACATGTGAGTCAATGGCCTTGCCTCCCTGATAACTAGGGGGTCGTGCTGTTCATAGTGGGGGGTATAATTTCCTCATACACCAATTCCCTACTTAGATCTCAATAAGAGTTCTCCTATCTTATTAAAAAAATTGTGCAAGTCAAAATTTACTTCTTCTTTTTTAATTTTTTTTGTCATATCCCATGTTCTTCTTTTCTAATAAAGATAATACTCATTTTTTTGTTTTTAGTCACGAAAATTTTATGCCTCTGAATATTTAATGTAATAATAGTTACTTTAGTTATTTATCATATAGTGACAATCTTGCTCAATAATGATGATAGTTGTCAATCTTTAGGCCTTTACTATTATTGGTTGATAAATCATCATTGTATTTTTTAACCTGTTCATGTATTTACCAACTTGATCAAATAGTCAGGTTGGGTTTGTTTGTTTGTTTATTTATTTATTTATTTTATGTATTTTATTTGTTTGTTTGTTTGCTTCCTCTCAATAATAGCCGTGGAGGAAAAGACATGCTCAATGGGAAGCTAATGATGACAACATTGGGAATATCTCGTATAACCATAATAGCTAAGTGGTATATGCTTGAAAATATGAACATAGAAGAGAGGACAAAATATACCCATCCAACCCCAACACGTCAAAATAAAAAACGTTGTTATAATGAGCAAAGTGTCACTGTTGGCAAAAAAAAATTATCAAACTGTCATGCTAACAGTAAATTTTGACAAAATATCACGTGGCATATTTCGCTACACTGTGTAGCGAAATATGTGGGCAAATAATTCGTTACACAGTGTAGCGAAATATGCCACGTCAGAACTAAAAATGTCACGTGTCAAACAGTATGTAGCAAAATTCTCCCTGTTTGACACGTGACATTTTTAGTTCTGACGTGACATATTTCGCTGCACTGTATAGCGAATTATTTGTACACATATTTCGCTACACAGTGTAACAAAATATGCCACGTGACATTTTGACAAAATTTACTGTTGGCGTAGCAGTCTAATAAATTTTTTTGCAAAATGGTCACTGTTAAGTGTAACTTTGATGCTCCTACACACTTGTATCTGTCTGTTCCTACCATAAAGTGGTACATTCTTTTTGGGTGCTCTTGGTTGTATCGCCCTTCTGGTGAAATGGCATTATTATTATTATCTCTTAAACAAAAATTTGAGAACACGTATCATAACATACAAAATCTATAAATAAAGAATAGAAAGTGAAAACCATGTTACATTCTGAAGAACTCTTGTCTCATAATAATAAAGCCTGCAAGAACAAATTCAATGCCATTCTCTTGTGCACAAAGAGAGAAAAAAACCACTGACTATACAAGGTTTCGTGGAAAGTATGTGGACATGGAAAATCACTTTCACAATAACATGAAAGAATACCAGACGAAACCAAAATCCCTCTCACACAAATGTGGATCAGCATTCTTTGTCCACACTCAGCAGCTTTGAATGTATGAATATATGGCCATGAGTGCTATGGTTTGTAGAGGTTCATGTAGCAGATTTCCCATTTGCAAGATTTTATATTCATTAGTCCCCATTGATCAGTTTTCAATCAAGAATCAACTTCCATCGTAGAACTACATCCATGCTTGTAAAAACCATGAAACAATCTGAGTAACGTGCACCGATAAGGACTCCCATTTGCAAAGATACATATGCTAAGTTTCATCACTTTTTACTTGAGAAGAGTGCCTAGATGAGGAAGATTGGAGCAGAGACTGCGCAGCTAGTAATTTTTCCCTTAGCATGGCATTATACTCGTACAAATTTTTGAGATTCTTCTGAATATCGGACATGTCCATTTCAGAACCACCCTTACATTCTGCATTGCATTTGCATACAAGTTAAATGTTTGAGAGGTGGCAAAAGCACTAACAATTTTCAAAACTTATAACATCAAAAAAGGTAGGCTAGATCATTAAAATGGCTATTAAAACCATGTAGAAACAAGCTTCATAAATAACGGATGACAATCACCAATCTAACAGCTATAGAGCAGCTAAACAATTTGCATACAAAACTGAAACATATAATTTATGCATTTATGTTCAGTATTAAATTAGGACAAATGATTTTGTCATGTGAAGTTTTTTTATACCCATGATCTGTTGACTAAATGTGCAAACCACAAAGCTCAAGCAAAATAACAAAATCATACCAGGTTAGGTATAAATATAATACTCACACAATCTTACATCAGGTAATATAACTATGTTAGTCTAATGTGTGTGTGCCATGTTACAACAGCTATGGACTCTTAGTCAGACCATTATCCATGACCTTAAAAGAGTAGCAAAACCAAAGGTCATTAGCACTTTAGGAGGAGAATAGGTAGAGCCATAGAAGACATTAATGATGGTGAGACAGTGGATCTAAGATCTCAGTTTCAATTTTTGAAGCTAAGCAAAGTAACAATCAGCAAAAATTACATCACGATAAATGAGGTTGCTTTCAGAGGTGTTGTATTTATCACCTAATAAGTATGCTGGTCAATATGTCATTTGAAAAATACACTAATAATCAAGGAGGCACAGACACTTGTAAAAATACGGAGAGTCGTGTCCGACACGCTCCGACACGGTGTCGGACACGCGGTCAACTTTTTCCGACACGTTGACCATTCCGACACGGTCAAATGACATTTTCGTAATTTTTTTTTAAATTTTTTTTAAATTTTTTTTTTTTTTAAATTAAAATATATTAATAAAGCTTTCACCTGATCATATCAATTTTATTTTTTTGTCTTTTTTCCCCTTAATTAGATAAGAGATCATCTCAGCATCATTGTTGTCAATTCCTATCACGCTCTTGTTGTATCTCCTTGTCTCTAATCTCTCTCTCTAATATGATTTGATCTCTCTATCTGATATTATATCTCTCTCTCATCCCAGTTCTTATTTTTTGATTAAAGCTTCCATCTTTATAACGTGTTGATGGGTATTATTAATTTAGTTTCATTTTTTTGTTAAACTATTAAATATTAAATGAAATATACAATATATAAATTAAAAATATTATTTAATATTAAAACGTATCCCAACGTGTCGAAATCCATAATTTTTTAGGATTGACGTGTCGTCATGTCGTGTCGTGTCACGTGTCGTATCGGTGCTACATAGCTAATAATTAGTAAGCTGGTATGAACTCAAATAAATTTCTACCTAGTGAAGGTGGAGGAGGAATGAAGTTATCATCAATAATAGAAGATTCTTGAGGTTGGGACTGAGGAAAATCTTTGCCTGAACCGACATTCTGCTGCTTTGCCATATTTTCAGAATGCAGATTCGAATCATTTGCGGATCCAAGCGGTTTGCAGCTCAATGTCTGGAAAACAAAACATTTGAAAATGTAAATTAAAAAATGCTTGGGATCAATGCAGGGCCCTTTTTTAATAGAAAAACTAGCTACATCTGAATGGCAATCATCATGTTAACTACATACTTAGATTATAGATAGAGAACATGTTATATGAGAGGAGTTCTTGTCATGCAATTAGAGGAACAAATTTTGACAATTGGATATTAGTGAAAACAGTTTAACAGTCTGAATTCAAGCCATAAGTAATCTAACTTATTTTAAGTAGTCATGTGACTTTTTAAGAGATCCTTCCATCTTGATACATTAGATCCAATGGGAAAGATTTGCCCCTCATCTCTCATAGTAAGCACTCCTTACGTATGATACATTCCTCACATAAATATATTACATACAGATAATTGAGAAATCAGCATTGGAAGACTTTGAATTTGGCAAACATAATCATAGTCACCTAAAAACAATACTTAGTACGCATGCATAGATAGAAGGCTTTGTTGAGTCCTAAGCATGAGAAGCTAATAATAATAATAATAAATGCATTATTCTCTGCTTAAATACAGGAAACAGGAAAAGTATATATGGGTTCACTCGATACTTCTAGAATTTGGACCTTTGGACACTTGCCAATAACAATGACATCATACTCGCCAAGCATGGGACATTGATAATGATGCACTAACAAACCAAAAGAAAGAAAGAAAAAAAAGGTCTAGCTTGGAAGTCAAACCAAACTGAAGAATTTGAAAAGTAGAAGTTTTACCTCGTTGGCAGGTAAGCTGGGTTTCTTGTACAAATTTATAGAACCAGTTCTGCGTTGCATACTTCGCTTACGTGATGACCTACTACCATGAACTGAATGGAGCATAAGCCCACCACAACCAGGTTCCTTTTTAGAGTTATTGTAGTTGTCATCTATTGTACGGCAGCCGTAGGTGTACATTACATATTTCCTCAACTGATTAAAATTTAAAAGAAGAAATATTAGTCATATAACCCAACAATTAAGAAGGCTAAAATTGAGCAAAAGGAAAATAGTTTTGAAATGTAAGATGTTTTAACAAGTCAACAAAGAAATTACTTTGTCCCAATGATCTTGAGCTTTACGCCGATTTCTAATTGTCCGCATAACGCTATCTTCATTTCTGAACTTCTTTATCCGATACTCACACTAGAATTTAGTAGAAGGTTAGGACAATATGGAATATAAGTATGAAAAGGCTATGACTTAATCTATGATGCATTGATAGAAAAATATGGAAGAATGTGCACAATCTCACAAGAATAAGAGTCCGTTTGGATGGGCTTTTGTTAGCCAAAAGCTGCTTTTTTAAAATAAAATAAAAAAACACTTTTACTATAAAGTCAGTTTGGATGTCTGCCTTAAAAAAAACAGAAGTCACAAAAAAAGCCAAGAACTTGTTTTCTTTTTTAAGCTAAAATTTTAGTTTCTAAAAAAAACAGAAGTCAAAAGCCAATTTTTTTTTTTTAAATCTACATAGCTTTAACTTTTGTAAAAAGCACTTCTAAAATATGTAAGGCATAAAACTAGCTTTTTTACAAGCCCATGCAAACGGGCCTAAATTATGTGAATTGTAAAGTGTAAACTACTATAAAAAGGGAATTCACAGAAGAAGAGAAGTATAACTATGCTCTGTAATTTGCATATACATTGTATCTCTTATTTCTAGAAAACAGGCAGGCACAAATAGCAGGAGCACACACCTATCAGTTTGAAGTTTTGAGAACTAATATTTCTTAAAATCAACAATTGCTGCTCACAAAATCTAAGAAGTTGCACCAGCACCACAAACTAACTATGGTAGCTTCTGATGCTGATGTTATGTAGTTGAATATATAAGCCTGTGTCACAGGCTTGATCTACTACATGAAAAGATCATGTCCTATCCAGTATTGTCTTGACTGAACCATTGTATTTGAATTATCAAGGAATCATGATTGAATAATATCAAGAAAGGAATAAGAAGTATACCTGTATCAACAAGTAGAAAAAGATGCCTAAGCAAATGCAATACAGGCCACCAAGGTCTGCAAGGAAGGTCACTGCATGTGAAAACAGAAAAAGGATGAAATTATCAAGTTGGAAGCATAATTGGATATTCAAACAGACAGGTAGCAAAGATAAAATTGTCTCTATTAAGATCTCACATCGGCTGGGTATCAGGTCAAAGCACCCCTTATAATGACTTGGGCAATCCTACCCCCTTGAGCTAGCTTTTGGGGTTGAGTTAGGCCCAACCCATTCTCAATTCTAATAGTTTCCAAAATACTAAATTCATGACAAAATATTTAGAACAGCAATGCAGCATCTTTCAAGAAAAAACTCATGTATCCATTGATTAACCTTATTTACCTATTGCCAAGTGATCTAGTCTGTTCAATCTGTTAGTTTTGGTTAGGCCTAAACCAGCACAAAACATAGAGCTTATCAGTTTGACAAGACTGCGATTACCAATTCAGATTGTGGGTAGAAGTTATTCTCATTTTAGAAATTGAGATATATAATAAAAGGAAATAGAGATCCAAGGATTAGGTGGTTGAACTTGACGATGAAGTTGATAGTATCTAGTAAGAGAATGAACGGAATTAGAAGGAATACAACTGAGATATGTCACAATACGGAAGTAAAGAAAGTAGCTAAGGGTGAAGCAAACAACAATATTACATAAGAAAAATTCAACTTGAGTACTACTAAGAAGAAGCGAAAGGAAGTCAGAACTAACTAAATTTGAAATATAATTACTAGAGAAATTGCAGACAGATAGCTTGCACATACCAGGAGTAGAAAGATACTTACCAGGACCCATAATACTCTCTTTGTCAATTTCCACAACATAATCAGAGAGAAAATTGATATACAATGTGGTGTTGACTAGACCATCAATAGAATTTTCAAGGGATGCTTGAAGTTGATTTGTATCATGAGAAACTGAACCTGGGAGGAACTCGTGAAATAAAGGCTGTATGAGCTTTAGATCATGTAAGTTACGGTATATTCGAGGAAACAAATTAAATTTCAAAATATCTGATTGCCTCCCTCTGAATGTAACCGGTCTATCATCAAAAGCGCTTCCATTCTTTAGTGTTCCACTAACAAAACTCATGTGCTTCTTAGCATTATCCGTTGCAGAGAGGTTGAACTCAAAACCAACAGCAGTGGCAGGATTATTGGGAAGATCAACAAAGTGCCAAGAAATGTACATATTATCATTGATGAACTTGCAGTTTTTACACTTGAGTGTTATGGTTGGTCCCTTGCTTGAGTTGTGGCAAGAGTAGTTTGCAAAAGTCGACAGAGAAACAACTCTTTGGTCAATAAAGCCAGGATTCCCAGCAACTAAATTACCCAAATCACGTAGATTTGCACAGCTCATACTAGATACAGTTGTTATATTGAACTCCATGTCATTGACAAATGAATTTAGTTCTGGTCCATTTGTTGCTCTTACATTATGCACCTCAATTGATCTCTTCGATATGGTCTGGTACAGCAACCTGATGGAAGGTTGAGTCAAAATGAAGATATGTGACAAATAGAAATGGAGTGGAAATAAGGCAAAAAATAATAGATTTCACTAAGATATCCTGACAATAGGATGAAGTGGGTATTTGAACTGGGTCGGCCCTTTATCCTGACAATAGGATGAAATAAGGCATCAGAGACTCACGCAGCAAATAAACCAATAAACAGTATCCAACTTGCTATGGAGAAAGTTCCACCAAGTTCGGTTTTGCGTTTGGTAACTACTTTCTGATCATCCTACATAAAGCATTTTTCATACATAAAGTTAATAATAATATATAATTGTTCTGTGTTCCTTTGATGAGTAGAATGACTGAAAAAGGATAATAGCACCAAAACAACATATAACAATCAGATGATTATGAAAGCATGCCTATGTTATAGTAATACTGACTCAGGAACAGCTGCAAGCATCCTTGTCATGCTAGCTCCCATGGTAGAAAATTTAAAAGAAAAAAAGTGAATTCAAATTTGAACCATAATTAAATTGTTAGCATACCAAGGCATAATCAAGAATGAAATCAAGCATATTCAAGGCCTCAATTTCCTTATCTATTATGCCCATCGTGACACAAACCAATCAAACTTAATGACCTACTTATAAGTTATAACCATAATAATAAAAACGAAACATCAAACAAATAGAAGAAGGAAACAAGTCAATGAGCACAAAACAACCAGGAAATGGATCCTCTCGTGTAATTTAACATCATGTGGGAGGATCTTAACCATTAATAATTAAATCAACGGTAATGATTGTGTAACTTTCTATCCTTATATTTTTTTTCTCTCTTTCCCTTATCACCGTTAACTCACCCATGTATGGTTATGATAGCTCCACATGACATGATCATGTTAATTAGCATATGAGAATATACACTCCCAGACAACCATAACATAAAAGGTCTATTTTATACCCCAAATAATAAATTAAAAAAAAAAAGGTTGTGTGACTTGTGAGAATAGTAAAGCTATCTTCCAATCATGAAATCAAAGAATGTATATATAAAAAAAATAAAAGGGGATTAAACTAACCAGCCAATGCCTTGTGGCAAAGCAAATATCCAATCGACTGATCCACCACCTGATTTCAAACCACACATTGCGTCCATCTCCAAGGCTCATAAACCTGAGGAATAAGCATAAGAGAAGCCAAGAGAGAAGCATAACGAATGTAGCCTCCAAGAATACAGCCTGTGACTGAGTGAATTTCTTGATGGAGTCAAAAGCAAAGAAGGTCGCCGGTAAGCTGAGTGTGTAGTAGTCGACGCCGGAGACGGCGGTGATGGCGGAGTTCGCCGCAAAGAGGGTGCACGTGTTGGCCACGCGGTCCATGACATAGCCGGGTGCACAGGCACAAAGGGACCCGTTGTAAGTGATGGAATTTACAGGACATGCCATTGGAATTTCAGAATCTGAGAATTTGAGATCTAATCAACCCTTTTCAGATAGATGAGCTTGTTAATTGTTGTGTTGTGAGTTGCCCAATTTGGAAACAACCAAAAAGAGTTGAACTTTAAGTGGAATTTGGGTGTTGGAAGATGAGACATGAAATGGGGTCGATCATGTTTGGTGTGGTTTAGTTGCAGCCACTAAATCACGACGCAGACACAGAACAGAACCAAAACGAATAATGTGTTTGTGCTTATGTCTGTGTTCCTTAGCGTTGAAGTAGTTGTGAAAGAAGGGAAGGGGTGAAGAAAGGAATTAAAATTTTGAGTTGTTTGTTTGCTTTGTAGCTGGGTTTTGTGATTTGTGTTTTTTTTAGTTTTTGTTTTTGTTTTGTGTGTGAGTGTGTGTGTGTGTTTCTAATTCATTTGTGCGCTTTTTCCAAAGCAGTCACAGGCTGTTCTATTCTGTTCTGTTCTGGAACATACGTCTAGCCCACGGAACATACCCAAATTCAACGGTGTCGTGTCTCCATTCCAACAATTTGTGAAACTCTGCTAATGATTAAAAAAAAATATATATATATATATATATATTAAATAAAAGGCTTATTTAAATTTAATATAACTAAATACAATATTTTTTATGAAATATTTTAAATTTATTTACCAAATACTTTGAATATATTCGTTCGTAAAATCTTGTTTTATTTATAATTAACTTTTTTTGTAAATGCTTTAAAATTTATTAAATAAAATTAATGAGTAATTGTTAATTTACCTTGAATAGTAATGTTATTAAAAACAAGTGGATACAAGGATACCAAAAAAAAACAAGTGGATACTAAAATAATTCTCTTAATTTTTTATTTACGTTGTGAAAGTCTAATAAGCAAGATTTATCATGTTTTGTTTGGCCGATTTTTTTATCATGAATCGTATTTTATTATAAAATATAGAAATATAATACAAAATAATTTAAAATTTTATAATATTATTAATATCATATAAATTCAAATTTCAAAAAAAGATCCGATAAGTAAAATAACTAAAGTGCAAATCAACTATTCTCCTGCTCATCAATCATTAAGACTAACGTTATCAATACTAGTTTATTATGGCTATCAGTATTTATTATCTATTAGTAACATAACTAATTCATCATCCTCTTCATTAGGATAATAATTTGACTCATTTCTTGTTCAACAATCTTGAGGTCCTATTCCCTTTTCTAGAGGTGACAATTTGGTTGAACCCGACGGGTCAACCCGCCAAAACGGGGCTGGTTGAGTTATACTTTTCAACCCACCAACCCACCTCAATCCGCCCCGCTTAGTTGTGGATCAAAACGGATTGACATTTTTCCTTATCATTCTTTATTTTCTTTTCCTTATTAATAATAATATTTTACATTTTTTTAAACAAATCAAATCTTTATTTCTTTTTTTATATTAAAAATTATAGATTTCGATTTAATTTTTGTATCATATGATACACATATCGTACGATGCAGTATCGTATCGTTCAATACAAAATTCTTTCTGATACACTTCATAATATGTAACGCTGAGTTTATAAATCATTTCATATCGTATGAATTATATCATATATCATATGATACTGATAACTATATTTTCTAGTTTAATTTCTCTCTTCTCAAACTCATACTTATGTTACACAATCTTATTTACTTTACTTCTTTTAGGTTGAAAACTATATTTTAACTTACAGATTCATATAAATTATAATTTCAATGCGATAGTAATACTATAGCACGCTAATGTCTAAATATTTGAATCACATTAACATTTTAATTCTTCAATTCATGAATACTTTTTTCCTTTTAGAAGTATGTTAATCAATTAAAGAAAAATTGTTCTTAAAAATAATGGTGTCCATAAATCCAAAATAGTAATTGATTTAAATTAAATTTAGTGCAAAATAAATCAATCATCGAAACTAAGTTAATCAATTCAATTAAAGAATCCAACCAATTAACCCTCCTATTTAAAAATATGAAATCATTCATACATGCAGGTGGGGTCCCAAGAAGTGGATTCTTCATAATTTGGGGGATACTGGTTATATCCAATGCTGTTACCACCTCAATAACGAAACGATCTTTTATAAATTATTATGTAACGCAAATGAAATCAGGACTTTTTAATCATCAAAATTTTAATTCAAAACTGTAAAACCAAGCATGCCAAATGGAGGGGAAAACTTTATGGGTTTTATTAATCTCCTTCCACATAAGATAGTTATCTTATGTGGTAGAGAGAAAATGGGTGGGTCCCACCATTATAAGAAAAAAGAAAAATAAGAAAAAAGTGGGGTGCGAAAATCGAAATGAGAAAAAATGAGATAAGTTACCTCGTGTGAAAGGAGATTAATATTTCCCAAACTTTATCGTTTAGATATTCAATAAATAAATAAGGACATTGGTAGAAAAATTTGAAATCAGAGTTCTCTCCTACTACGGGCAAGATCACTAGCAATGTCATCAGCATCAGCATCATCATCATCATCTCGCTCACACTGTTCCAAGAATTTTTTATAACCAGGTTTATAAGCAACAACAAGACGCAGGTACTTTGCAGCTTCAGCCTTGTGACCCGCATCAAAAAGAGTGCTGTATACCCAACAAATCAAATCCAATAAACAAAATGGTAATAGCAGTGTTAGAAGAGGAAATTCTCAACACTAAATTTAAGGTAATTAACCTAAGTCGTACCTGGCAAGCAACAGCAACCCATCAAAATAATAACCTTTGCTAGTAGGATCTTCGGGCTCCTCCATATTTGCAACTCTTTCAAAGTGTGCACGTCCTTCGGCCCTCTTTCCCTGCCATACAGAAAAACGAAAATCATAGGTAATCCTATTAAAGAACTGGAAGCTTCTAAAATTTCCATGCCTGATGTCTGCAATACTTAGGTAATAACACGTCTAATTTGTCTACTATCATTAGACTAGCAAGTCAGACCCCAACTGCTAATAAAACCCAAACAAACTTCCCAAATCTGTTTTTGAGAAGGAATAGAGGTATAATTTTGATTTTAGTAACATGATAATCAGTATTGCGCATACAGGACACATTCAATACACAAGCTGTCTCGATATTCTCTCCGTCAAATGCATATTCAACCCTTTTCTAACCATATATCCAAAAGCCTGTTCCGAAAAAAATTTGCTCAGAGATTTCAACATATTGAAGTATGTGTTTCACCTGTCGTTCACAAGCAACTCCGGCCCATTGGGATGAAAGAATCAAAAGATCAACATCTTCCGCATCAGTTGGATGACCAGCAAGAGAAAGCTAGAGAAAAACCAGAAACTAATTAGGGATTAATGGCACAAACGAAGTGAAATGAGACAAGAGTTTTCTAGTAAAAGTAAAAATAAAAAAGGGCAATGCAAAAGATACATCATAAGTTCACAGACAAACAAACACCTGACATTGTATTTGTAGCTAAAGCCAGCTTAACAAATTAAAAACAAAATGGAGGCAAATATGAATTCATACCTTTGATATTGCACGCTCAAAGTACTCATTAGCTTCATCATTTATATGCTTCAGCAATAGAACTCGTCCCATCAAAACCAAAGCTCGTACATATTCAGGATCCTTATCAAGTGCTAGTCTGTTTATTTAAGTTACTAATGCAATGCACATCAACCAGAGATAAACCTTAAAAATACAATATTACAAGGAGTTTCCTTTTCTATTTTTATTCCCCCATTCTGAAGAAACACGAAAGAATAACTTACTTTAGTAAAGGAATTGCACTTTCTTTATCATCATCGGATAGAAATGGGATTGAAAGCTGTAAACAAATCAAACCATCAATTAGTGACAATTCTTGGAGCCATTCTGGTTTTAACGATATATCGCATATGATATATGTTCATGTTCTTAATCACTCACAGCAGTCAGTTCTTTAGGCGACATGTCCTCTATAGGTATTTTGTGCCACTTTTCAGGTGAATCCAGAGGGTTTTTTTCAGGAGAAACAGTTTCCTTGGTAGCTGCTGTTGGACTACTGTCTTGTAACCCCAGTGAAGGGGATGTTTTAGCAACACCAATTTCCTCAGAAGCTGCAGTTTGACTATTCTTGTCTTGTAAACCCAACTTTGCAAGGACAGCAGGATGTCTAAGAGCTACGTGCTGCAAAGTTTATTGTTCGTTGGGTCAACTTTAAGTGTTATTGTACAATAGTAGTTCAAACTAAAAAAACCTAAAAATGCATGATTTTTTCTTACTGACCTGAACGAGGGTTAATGAACTATTGGTAATCCAATAAAGTAGGCTCCCCTACAAGAATAGATTACATTAACATACCACTACATCCTTCAAGCTATGGCAAGATGCGATGGTATAAGTTTATCAAATAATACAGCAATTGGAATGAAAAATGGCACATAAGCAAAAGTAATGCTGCAGTGAAGTGACAATTTACTAATCTTCTGAAGAAGAAAAAACTAACCGAAAGTTCCCCTTTTTTATTTGATAAGCGATACCTACTCATATGAGTTCAGAAACTGTGATCAAATACTGTATCTTTGGTTTCAAAACAGGACAGTGCACCGCTAGACTGATATATTGCTGAAACTCAACTCTATCTACTACAATAGTTAAGTGCCCGATTAATCAGATTAACAAACAAAAATGAAAATAGTCTGATGGGTTGTAAAAAATTGTAGCTTATATTTAAATTAAATTCTAGGTTTCCTTAATCTTCTGCAACCATACATCTCCAGTGTCCACGGATATCTTGCATGACAGCATGTCATGTTATTTAGAAAGAAGATCTTTATTATAAAATATGCAGTGAGTTCTGTCTTTTTAACTTTTATATGAGCCATACATAATCTTTGAAATCCAGGTACATATAATCATCTCTTTTGTATGGTCTTGACGTCTTGTAGGATAAATTCTCAGAATGCAACGTAAAGATGTCATCTATCAATTGGATAATACAGGGAACAGAGACTTTAATGAGGAAAGGGCATTTCAACTACAATCTCAGCCAATCCAAAAATAAAAAAATAACATAAAATAAAATTGCCAAAGTATCGTAGAGAAAAAAGATGAAAGGAGTGAAGTTACCTGAGGAATACAAAAGCCAATGTAAACTATAGGCAATGTTAGAAAGTCCAAGTATCGTTTGTAGTACTGCAGTAACAAAGGTATCACTTGTTTAATGTTGGAATTACTGCTTTCTTAATACATAGGAGAATTTCCCTTATATTACAAAGTATCAAACAACATTCTTAAACACTATTATTAGTCAAACGAAATGAGGAAATTCATATAACAGAAAATGCAAGAAATCAAGGATCAACTCCATTTTTGCCCAAGAAAATGTAATACAATAGTAATTCATTAGAATTACTAGACAAAAAGTCACTAGGGTTAGCCTAGTGATTAGGGGTGTGGGTCAGTGTGTTAGGTGGTATGTGTTCTAGTCCTTCCTCATGTATCCAAAAAAAAAAAAAAGAATTACTGAACAAATTATACTCACTTTGGCTAATAAGTCAAAAATGTTCCTTGTTTCTTCGACCAGAGGTTTCCGAAAGGATATCTGAAAAATCAATAAACACAAAATAGTACACATGCTATACTTGCAAAACAAATGAGAGAATTAACTTAAGGTACAATAGCATACACCAAACAAATCCCAAACAGAAGGCAAGAAATCCACCCTATTATACAATAAACTACAATCTGACTGTTATTTTATAGCATGTGCAATATTGGATATTACACTATATTTTATATTATTTTATTGCTAACTGAGCTACTAGTGAGCCAAGCAATTTAGCTTGTATAATAAAAAAGGCAACCTGGTGCTATAATTAGCTCCCACTCTGTGCAAGGTCCAGGGAAGGGTCTACAGTAAGAAACTTTACCTTGCATTTGCAAAAGGCTAATTACATGGAGTTTAGCTTGTTTAATGAAGGGTAAACCCCAGTGTACAAGGCTCCTTGATTTGCGAGGGTAGGAGTGAAAGTTGATTGTACACAGACTTGCTATTACATCTTTGCAAAGAGGTTGTTTCCTAGACTCGAACCTGGAACCTTTCGATTACAAGGAGCAAATTTACCATTGTTCCAAGACTCGCCCTCCGGTTTAGCTTGTTTAATAAATGAGATAAAAACCAATACCAAGTTTGATTCATTATTATAGGCAGCATTACAGAGCTGGTAAGCCAAGCACATATTGGATAGCGTGACTTGATTAATCACTTGCCATTGACCAGTTCCTTATGGATCCAGCAAGCTTGCCAGCTATTTTGGCTCAGTAATTCTACCTTTATTATGCCAGCTAGCCCAAATATCATGTTAAACACTTTGCTCAACTACACCCCAACGCTTATCAAAGGGGGATGCAGCCATAACACAAGGATGAATTCTGATTCTTTTTTTTGATTTAATAGAACAAAATCTGGTTCATGTTAAATGACCAACTTTAATGCACATAGGCATGGAGATGGGGTAAAACAATAAAAGGTAAATATAGATACACTTTAATGGTTAAATCGCTCACGGATATGGATTTAATCCATTACCTGAACATTAACGTAGTGCAAACCAGCAATCAGAAAAGGAAAGATGAACCCTGAATAACCGTGAGAGAGTTCTGTTAAATTCTGGAACCATAAAGCACCACCCTGTGACATAATCATTCAGCAACGATGAGCATCTATGTGCATATGGTGCATGTATTTGTCAACACTCAACACTATGATATAGCTTCCCTGAATAATAAATTTTCCAAATGCTATAAGTCCAGAACTTAGATGACATCATTAAAGCTTACTGTTATAATTATAATCTGTCTCATCCAATTTAGCCAGATCTTCATGATAGATATATTCTCATTGTATGGTTTCATTCATTCGTGGAACTACAACCATGTAAATTTTATGTTTGCAAAATATGAAGTTACACAGTGCATGGACACAATGACAAAACAGCATTTTAGTAGGATAGTGCCTTACACAATTAAAACCAGGGTGACCATCCAGTGACATCTTCCTTATGCTAATCATCCACAGGAAAAAACATGGAATCTGGAGACAAATTAAAAGACCAAAAGTTAAAATTATGATAAAACTTTTGTAAAGCAGGTCTATGATCATGATATTTTGTTCTTTCATATTTTGGTTTCTCCTGAATGATAAAAAAAAATTGACTTCTACAACTTTCTATATATCATCCATGTGCCACATTACAAATTTTCAGTTAACACAGGAGAGAAAAAATTTGTCACAGTGTGTAGTTTATGCAATTATTTGGTGCACTAGGCCGGAGCAGAAAACATGCACTTTTAAGGTTGTCTGATTGTGTTTTTGTCCTCTCTTTCATGTTCAGTCCACAGTTGATTTAACAATGTTTGGCTCTCAGATTTGCAGAGATATTTGGGCAGCCATGCTGCTGCATTATCAGTTTTTCTGTTTCAGTTCCCATCCCCCTTTTGATTGATATACTTTAAGAGGATACTTGTCTTTGGCCCATTCCCATTGTATAAGTACTTTCTACCTATTCTCTCAAAAAAAGCCTAATTGAGCAAAGGGAAAATCTTGGTACACAAGGCTCCCCGACTTTGCTAGGGTAGGAGTGAGAGTCGATTGTACACAACATAACATTTAACTTTATGTGGGACTATATTTCCAACAAGCTTTAGTGATGTAAGAATCTTAAGTTTATTTAACTTGTAAAGTTATCTAATAAGGTAATGCATGGTCTTTGAAATGGTAGGCAATAAAGTCTAACGATGCTGTATCACTCCATAACATTTTTTATAATGGCAATACAGCAGTGTAAGAGCTGTCATAAGTTGCGGAGGAATAAATTTTAAATTGAAAACTAGAGCTTTATAAAAGCAAATTCTGTTCTGGGAGAGTGAATGCTGTCTTTCCTTTTCAGATTTTAGACATTCTTTCATTTCCATTTGCAAGTGCTCCAGTTTGACACTATGCGTGGTTTTGCTTTCCCTCTTTATTTATATATTACATAACCTGGGAATTTCTTTCATCCTCATCACAAGCACAGCTTTGCTTGGTGGTTGCTTTTGGCTGTGATATTATAATTAAAGATAAACTGGGGAGGGGAAGAAAGCAAATCCATTGCTGTAGAGTTCATAAGCATTGTTTCCCATGAAGCTAGATATATCACCTGGACAATAATTGGTACCAGTGGCCACACATATGAGGGGCATCCAACTGCTTTTCTCTCCTTCTGGAAGAATATAAATTGACGAATATAACTCTTTCCTGAGAAAGGTGGTGGGAATGGAGGAGGCACTTTAAGAAAGGAAGGAACCAAACAAAAATCAATAATAATTTAAGTAGATGAACTAGATATGGAAAAAGAATAAAGATTTCTCATATGGGGTAACATAAGAAATGTGATAAGGAAGTATCCACTCTCATTTTTTAACCACAAGAAGGAACAAAACACATTTCAAAGGTAAAGAACAATCAAGAAGCACGTCAAAATCAAACCATAGTGAAATCAAGAAGCCTGTGTACATATGAGCGCAAAAAATTACTACTAAATAACCGTTGCACATAATGAAAGCAAAAGCTAGGATGAAAAGTGTGACAATGCAATAGAAGTGAGGAAAAACAAACAACTGAATAACTGCATCCAGAGCTAGTTTAGAAAATCTGAATATAACTTCTATAAGATGACCAAGCAAACAAGTGTACAACCATCAAATGAGAACAACAAGCACTAATAAAGTAATTATAACCTAATTCTAAGCGAAACATTTGAAGTACCAATGGGCATTAGTGAATGAGAAAGATTAATAAAAAAAAAAGCGATAACAATCAGCTGCATTATAAACTTGCAAATAAGAAACAAATGAATTAACCTAGCAGAACTGATTTATTTATTTATTTACTTCCAATTAAAGTTGAATGATTAGTGATATAATCTAAATTAAGCATATTAACGAGAGAAAGAGGCCATTAACTAATTGTAAACGAGCACATGATACTCACATTTAGGAAAAAATTCCCCAATCCTTTTAACCTTGTGAAGTGTTAAAACCAGAGGAAAAAGCAGAACAATTCTGAGAGCCAAAGTAGAGGAAACAATAGTTATCCACCTGAAATTCAATTACTAGATTAACACGAAAGTTCGATTCAGAATCGAAAAATGAACAGGAATAGCAGTGTTAGCAACAAGAATCACGAGGACCTTGAAGCTTACCATGGAAATCCAGAAAGATCGTGGAATGAATCAAGCATCCAAATCACCGCACGAACGGGGAAAACCGGGTTGTCTTCACCGCCGCCACTGCTGTCAGCGATCACTTTAAGAAGCTCCGAGTTAACCGGCGAGTCGACACCGAGCGAGTCCATCACCGATTCGCGGTCATCAGAAGAAAAACGAGTCGAGAAAGCGCGGGAGCGGAACGCGCCGAAAAACGGGAGGGTTGGAGAGTGAGGTGTGGCGGAAGCGGGAAGAGGAGGAGGGTGGTGAGAGGTGAGGACACGTGGCAGAGAGAGGAGGGAAAGGGAAAGGGAGGAGGATTGACGTGAACGGCGGAGGTGGGAAAAGAGCGCCGCCACTGTTGCCATCGCGGCGGTTGGAAGCACAGTCTAAGGACTAGCTGGACTTGAATTTGGGGTGTATTAGTTTGGACCAATAAAAATGCTCCCTTAATTCATATATTTCAGGGGGAGAGTTGTTTTCTCTGAGTTATCCATTTTTGTGTAATAATCTTTTTTTTTTATAAGTGGTGGGACCACCATATGCTATATTTCATTAATGTGATATTAACAAGTTAAAATTAGGATCATTTTGAAATTTTCTTTTATTATTTGATTATTTTTTAAATAAATATAAGATTTGATTCATAAAAAATGTTATTTGTGTTGTTTATTTGATTATAACTTTTTTCTCTGTAAAATAGTATCCTTACTCCGAGTTATCATTTTTGTTAGCAAATTTTATTTTATTTTTAATAAGTGAGAGCCTAGCCCATAAAAGAAAAAAAAAAAAAACTAAGAAACAAATAATCCAAAATAGTCATCGTGACTAAGGGTGTTCGCAGTCTAGATTGGATTGGATTAATTTTGGAAGCAAAAATCATTTGATCCAATCCCTTCGGTTTGATCATGTAATCATCCATTTGATTTGAATTTTTTTTCAATTTTGATCCAATCCAATCCAATTATTTTCGATTTGGATTGGATCGGTTTTCGGTTTTTTGAAAATCCTAAAATTTGTTTCATGATTATTATGCAAATATGTATATATTGGCTTTGTAAAAAAAAATGAAATACAAAAGCATTAGTAAACGATAATATAATTTTTTTTTTGCAATGAAATATGAAGCTCTACACAGATTGTTGAGGAGATATGACTAGATTTTTTCTTGAGTTTAGTTGATGGGTCAATGGGTCTTAGGTTTAGAAATTTTTGGACTATGATTGGGGAAAGTCCCAAGTAGGTAGAGAAAAATTAATATATTGGATTGGTTTGGATTGGATCGGTTTTCATCAACCAATCCGAAAACTGATCCAATCCAATTAAAGTTTGCCGTTTTTTTTCGGTTTTCAGTTTATTCGGTTATCAATTTTTCGGTTCGGTCAGTTTTAATCGGTTTGGATCGGTTGATCAACATCCTAATTGTCACTGAGCCTTCAAGATACATCCTTCTAAGGAGAAAACCTTTGGTGTAACAAATGTAGGTACATTCATGCTAAAATGAAAAAGTTTTGGGGACTTAAAAGGAATTATACAAAAAAGTATGGGTTAAAATGAAAAAAAAATCCAATTTTAGTAAAATGGAGTATCGAGTTCGGTACTTCCGTAGTACCGAAGAGATTTCTCCTTCTAAGAACCTCCCGCATCAATTTGACCACTTGATGTTCCACACGATCTTAAAGTGCTACCCTTGTTATCTAGTCTGTGCAACGATTTGCCAAACGGGGAATGTAGACAAAACAAATATCTTAGTAATTATATGGATGTTTGTCCCTTTTGATTTTTTTAAGTTTATTTTACAAATTTAATATGCCCCACAAATTATTTTTCAATCGGAGACGTTTGGTTCTGCACGGAATTGTTTTTTATATTTATTTTTCCATTCACCAATTTATTAAATAAAAAATTGTAATGGATTTATTGAATCATAAAAGTCATTATTTATTTATCCAACAAATAAATGTATACTTACTTGCCATAAAAATATATATACGACCATTTAAGCTGATTAGTTGCAATGTTCTTATGATTCAGCCACGTTCAGAATCTCTTGCGCTTAAAATTAGTTGTTTGAAAAGATATTTTGTTGTGAGGGGATAGCCGAATTCTCAAGATCCTCAATCTTGTAAGAGCTCCTAGTTGTCGCTTGGTCACCCTTACCTATCATTTTCAATACTTCACCGTCCTTTCCCAAGAACTTTATAGCCAAATGGATGATAAAAACCACGACTTTAACATGTTTGATTCAAGGATGTCCCAAAATGGTGTTGAAGGTTAATGGGTTATCAACGACGAGGAACTTAATTTTGGCAAACTTGGTGAGGGATTTTCTCCTCAAGAATAGGTGAATCATAATGTATCCCTAGGGGGTTATCCCATATTTGATGAACTCCTTATGGTTACAAGTCAACATGTTTAGAAAACTCCAATTTCTTGAACGAGACTCAAAAGATAATGTTCATCAATGGATCCACAAGCATTATTTTGACTTCAAAGTTTGCTAGGGATCCTGAAGATTATCAAGGGATTGTCATGGCCAGGGATGACATTCTCAATGTTGTCATTAGAGGAAGACAAGGACGAACCCTAGAGTTGCTGTTAGATGTCTTGAACTATGTCGCGTAACGATAGCCATCGTTGGCTTGAGGTATTTCTTCTGTGCTGACATTGATTCTCCAACTTTAGTGAAACCACCCGAAATAGTATATACAACACCCTGGGGTTCTTTATCAGAGTCTGTTTGCCAGTGGCCATTGGGGACATAAGGATGTTGGTGCTCCGATGTTCCTTCTATGCTGAAAAGGATCTCAAGATGGGGGCTATGGTACTAGCTTGGCCTTCTTGGGGTTTTGTACATGTCGACCTTTGTTTAACAAACATATTGCCAAAGTTGGCCTTCTTGCACATTTTTTTCAATGGCATCTTGCAAGGAAGTGCATTCTTTTGTGTCGTGATTGTATCCCCTAAGAAACCTATAATTTGTTGTCTTTTGGTGTTGCACTTGCTTTGTTAATAGAGGTGGCCGTTTTATTCCCTAAAACTCTGTATTGATGATCTTTTGGAGTAACAAGATTTGGAGGCATTCAAGGTGGTGTACTCATTGTAATTTCCCTTACCCAATTTTCCTTCTATGCTTCCACCTTATTGGAAGGAAGGTGTACCGAGATTTTTCCTCTTCTGTCGTGTTGCCTACTCTTCGGGATCTCTTTAGGCCTTTTCAAAATCGTCTAGATTGATGTACTTTTTGAACTTGAAACATAACTCATCCATGATTCTAACTTCTCTTATAGCCAAGGAGGTGGTTAAGGGTTCCAACTGCAACACATTGATGAGAAGATGGAGTGCCACCTTAAGATCCAAATTCCTAACAAGCAGTGATTCCTTGTTGAACTTGTTACAACTAATCCTACATAGATTTTTCATTTCTCTGTCTCACCATTAATAATGTGTAGGATGTTCTCGTTGGCATTGCTAGTGATTATGTGTAACAATAATTACTTATACAATTCATCTCAATTATCAACCAAGTTAGGAGGAAAGAATGAGAACCACCAAAGTGCAACCTTTTTAAAGGTTAAGAAGAGAGCCCAACACTTGAGGGGTTAGTTCATCCTTGAAAAGCATGGTGGCTTGGTAGACTCAAGATGTTCCTATGGGACTCTCTCCCCATGGTATGACTCCATGTTGCTGGATTGTATAAAGCATTTAAGGATACTGGCCATCATGACCCTTTTAGTGAAGGGATGACTGAGCTACCTAGATGACTTAAATATACAAAACTAGCCAGCACTAAAATATTGCTTGGGGAGTTCGGGCTCGGTGTCTACAATGCGAGAGACTTCTTTGGGAATTATTAGTAGAGTTGGGTTCCTGAAAAGCCGATGTTGAGCCCTCCCAAAGACTCTTCAGCCATCATTCTCCTTTTCATCTTCAACGAAGACTCTGTAAAAGTTCATTTATCTATTGGGTTTGCCTTTCTATAAAGAGGTTTGGCTACATAATGGCCACCATAAGGTCATGATTTTAAGGCTCTAGAGCCTCGTCACATTGTTGGGGGCAATGGTGGCTGCCCCTTGAAGGACATTGATGCTTATCCACCTCTAAGGGAGCTCTTTGACCTAATTTTTTTTTCACAATTGTCTTTTTGGTGCTCGTCATGCTTAAAGGTGATATTTAAAATTTATACTTTCTCATAAATGACACAAATGTTCACTCTGAGTTACATGGACTAGTTGAGGTGCTACTTTTGAGCTTCCTCGAGTGGTGGTTGATGGAGGTTCCTCCCCATGCACTAGTAGAAAAGAGGTGGTGGAGTATCTTTAGGTACTTTGATGCTAGTCTGAAAATGAATGAGGTTGAGAGTGTGAATAATAGATATGCATACTTGAGAACTTGACCACTATTTAATATGAGAGAAGAATGATGAGATTTGTGTTTAAGGATCCCTCCTACGGGAACGAGACATAGGCAATTAGAACAATCTTGCCATGAAAGCTTCGCCGAGGTAATGGGATGTGTGCCCATACCGAGTGGACAACTGAGGCGCTAGGTGATGAGACATGACATTGAATGGTGGTCACAACTCACGTTAGAGTGCATATAAATTGTTTTGCTGGTTAATCATTGAATCATGTCATGGACACCGAACAAAATTTGTCTTTAAAATAAAAAAATATAAGTGTATTTATCCTCAATTTTTAGTAAATTAAAATTACAACATATTACAAATGAAATATAAATATACCATTTGTTTACTCACTTAACAATTTTGTCCCTTACTAAGTAATAACACATTGTTTAAGAGTATGTTTGAAAGCTCTCTTTTTTAAGTTAAAAATTACTTTTAAGTTAAAGTTAAAAAATAGCTTTAAAAATAAAGTTATAAGCTGTTTGAAAATTATATAAAATTTTTAACTTAAAAGTTATTCATTTCAAAATAATACACGTTTCAACAAAAAATTAATAAGAGTTTAAAAAAAAAAAAAACTACTACTAAGAGCTTTTGTTTTTTGACTTTTTCTTCCATTATAAAAAAGATCTCATTTTATTACAAAAACTTTTGTAAAAATTTATTTGACTTAATTTCTACTTATATGAAAAAAAAAAAAAAGCTTACAAAAAAATTCAAACGGACACTTAATCAATCACAGCGAAGTTTGAGTTTCACAAATCACAACTTTGAATGATAGGCCCTTTCAATAAGAGTCCGAGTGTGAAAGCAGGCCGGAGCCGGAGCCTTAAAAATAAAATAAAAAAAAACCTCTGATTCCTTAAAATATTAAATAATCGTGTGCCACATCGCACGTGTAGGAGAGATGTGTTGAAATTAGAAGCGTGTGAAGAGGAAAGAGGTACCATTTTGTTGTGGTTGACAATATCATCTTAAACTTCGCTTACAAAAAAGAGAGGACGGAAACAACACAGAGATTCCAGGATCTGGTGCCCTCCTTTTTCCTTCCCTATTGTTTGTGATTTGTGTGACCAATTCTTTATTCACATTCACACCACAATATTAGCTATTTTTTATATATATTATTTTTTTCATGGAAATGAGTGAAATGAATGAATGAAAACACCACCATCGCTCTTATCTCTCACCATTGACTCAGCCGTCCTTAATCTCTCCGACATCTCCGATCTCTCTCCTATCCCTGATCACATCCTCCTCGACCTCTTCCTGGTACTGTTTTTTTTATCAACTCTTTCTCTCTCTCTCTCTCTCTCTCTATCTGTCTTTCTCTTACTTCACTATCATAGGTAACTAAGGTTACCTTTTTTCAATTTCTTGACTTTGATCGATTGCAAAAATACCCATTAGCTTTTTTTGATGTTTCATGTCTAGATCTCCCATAAAAGACAAAACTTGCCCATAATTACTGTCATTGCATTCATATTATAGAATGAGTAAAGGAAGGTGCTTCTGGTTTGTGTTGTTAGCTTCAGCATGCTTGTTGTAACTTTTTACTGTAATTGTTTCATTTGCAGTTTAATCCTTTTTTTTTTTTAATTTATAAATATGTAACCATGTCTTGTTAAAATGAATTTCTCTTGAGGTGGAGGTTATGCGGCTTTGAGATCTTTGTATTTAATTGTTTTCTTGTGGTATTTGAAAATCACTAGGACTCGTGTTAAGCAAAATGTCAAACAAGGTTCATTTCTTCTTGATGGAAGATTGATTTGATAGTTATGTTGTCTTATCATATATTTTTTTTTGGGGGGGTGGGGGTTCCTAGAATCAGATCTTGCTTTACTTTCCTTTCTGTTTTCTTTTTTTAAGCTATGAAATTTTGAATTTTGCTTTTTCATGTTGCTTAAACATTGGATCTTAACTGGATCAAATAAGTAAGGGCCCTTTACAATTTTTCGGCTCTCTCATTTTTTAAGATCTAGAGGGGAACAATTGTAGATATGGTTTTAATCCTTTTGTTGTCTGTGTATAAGTTATAGCTCTTTAATTCTACCCTGAAGTTTTATTCTGTCATTATCATTCAGTATATCCTCATTGCATTAGGTCATTTTCATGGACAGAGAATATTGAAAGCTGGAAAGCTGACTGAGAAAGTTCTGAGACTGTTTATAGCAACTGGTAAGGATGAAGTCCTCTCACTAGTTCAGGCACTGAATATCCAACATATTTTGACCCCTGTGCTTCCTACCAGTGAGTTATTTTGAAATTTTATCTTGTGCTTATCGTAGCGATTCCCGAAGTGACAAACATTTATTCTCTGACCTTTGAATATCTTCGTGCAGGATGTTCTGAGAAATTCTAAGATATAAACTATTGTCAGCACTTTGAATTTTAAGACTTCTAGTTTTTGAGTTAATCTGTATTCTGTACCTCAGAAGATGTCTCAAGCAACTATCAACGATAATGAAGTGGACATTGTGATTGGTGCACTGCACTCTGACCTTGCATCTTTTATGAATGAATGGAAGCCAATTTTCTCCCGTTTCCACTTGATCATAATCAAAGATCCTGAACTCAAGGAGGAACTCCAAATTCCTGAAGGCTTTAGTGCAGATGTCTATACAAAATCTGATATTGAGCGAGTGGTGGGTTCTTCCACTTCTGTTCGCTTCTCTGGCTACTCTTGTAGATATTTTGGCTTCCTAGTTTCTCGGAAGAAGTATGTTGTCTGTATTGATGATGATTGTGTTCCAGCAAAAGATAACACAGGAATTTTGGTAGATGCCGTGGCTCAGCATATTGTGAACCTCAGGACTCCTGCCACCCCTTTCTTCTTTAATACACTATATGATCCATTCCGTAAGGGTGCGGATTTTGTTCGTGGGTACCCATTTAGCCTGCGAAGTGGGGTTGATTGTGCTTTGTCATGTGGATTATGGCTCAATCTGGCAGACCTTGATGCACCAACACAAGCTCTGAAGCCAGAACAAAGGAATTTGCGATATGTAGATGCAGTTCTGACTGTTCCTGTGAGAGCCATGATGCCTGTGAGTGGAATCAACATTGCCTTTAACCGCGAAGCAATCGGCCCAGCATTAGTCCCAGCTTTGAGGTTGGCAGGGGAAGGAAAATTGAGGTGGGAAACTGTGGAAGATATATGGTGTGGAATGTGTGTAAAAGTCATATGTGACCACCTAGGCCTTGGTGTGAAAAGTGGGTTGCCCTATGTTTGGAGAACAGAAAGAGGTAATGCCATAGAGAGCTTGAAGAAAGAATGGGAAGGGGTGAAATTGATGGAGGAAGTTGTTCCTTTCTTTCAGTCAGTAAGGTTGCCACAATCAGCAACTACAGCAGAGGATTGTATGGTTGAGATGGCCAAAACAGTGAAGGAGCAACTAGGGAAGGTTGATCCTATGTTTTCTGTTGCTGCAGAAGCCATGGAAGAGTGGGTCGAGATCTGGAAGTCGGTCGGATCTGGCCAAAGCTCCTGAACTTTGTGATTGGTGTGGTCTGGATTTTTTCATCTTCTCATGAGGACTCTTGTGGGAGTGAAGGTTATTGCCTTACTGGCTTCCATATTTCTTTATTTTATTTAACTAATTTATCTGCTTTATTTCAAGTTTGTAGTCAACTAAGCATACTTTTTACCAGACACTGTTAGATTGAAGGCAGAATAAAATGATAGTACTTATTGGCTTTGTGATAATTGAATAAATGCTTTGTCTTGCTTTATCAATTAGTCTTTGAACCAAATCCCAAGGTCTGCTTATTTTGTAGCTCAAAATGCTTGTAAATGGGTGTCAACTGCTTGTAATTTTGGGTCTATTCTTATATCTTTTTTCATCCCCCCTTTTGTTTTTCAGGATGAGGGGAATGGTCCTGCCTTTTCTTTTGTTTCTATATAACTTCTCTGAAAAAAAAGAGAGAGAATAAATGCTTTAATGTTTACAAACAGATGCCTCACAACTGACAAGGAAACAATTTTAAGAACATGATTCGAAGTTCTTCTGCAAATTTATTCATGTTTGGGAGCAATAACTTTGACTCTCAGTTGTTCTCTATCGTCACTATTATAGTCCTTGGTTGTGATTTTGAACGAAGTTTCGCAATTAAACGTGAATGACATCATTGCTTCTATTTTGAATGTTTCTTTGTAGTAAGTGGTGGCATAGAAGTTTGAAGCTTTTAGACCTCTTTCTGGTGGCTTATTTGATAAATGTTTCTAGCGACTGAGAGAGCTACTGTTTATAAGCACATTCCTTATATTCTTCGTGTTCTTCTGCCTACAATTCTCGGACAACATTAGAACAACATATTTATATGCCAATCCTTTTTTCTATTCCAGAATGAAATTGACTTATACCTGTCCTAGACTTCTTGTCAACAATGACTTGCAAGTTTCTCATGTTCCCTCCTACCAACTTGCTGAACTTCTTACCAAATCATTGTCAATAGATTGGAGCGTTCAGAGCATTGACATAACAACCTTATCTAAGTATAGGATAGGGTTTTGACCATAGTGATGTAAAATTTAAAAGTATTAATTGGATTGATGATAAGCCAGAAGTTTTATCAAAATAATGCAGTGAAATATACGAAAGGGTTGTGCATGTTTAAGTTGTGTTATGCATGTTTAAGTTGTGAATGGAGAGATGTGTGACTTATATATGGGTGAAGTTGTGGCTATCATGTGGTGGATAGATTGCGCATAAGGGTGGTACACGACTTGCAACTTGCGCCATGTGGCAGATACATATAAGTTGCACACGTCTCTTCTGTGATTTGTGGAGGTTATAATTGCAAATAGTGGTGGTTTCTTCGTTATAAAGCTTATACAACGTCAAAGAGTTGGAATTTTTGGTTTTTGATTTTTTTCTTCATTATAAAAAAGCCTCTTACTACAAAAAAAATGTCATTTGTGGAGGTTATATTTGCAAATAGTGGCAGTTTTTGACCCCACAAAATATATTTGTGGTGTTCCCCACAAACTCCAGTATTGCATGCGTCACAACATATTTCATGGCGTTTCTGTGTGCAACACCACTATTTGTTGGGGTATTTTCTGGAGGTTTCAAATCGCCACAAATGTTATAATTTTTGGCATTCTTTAACCTTCATAATATGTTTGACTTTTGGTAGGTTAAAGACCTCCACGAAATGTTTAGCATTTTTAGCAGCCCTAAACCTCCATAAAATGTTTTGGCAATGCCAAACCTCCACAATTTGTTTAGCATTTTTGACAGCCATAAACTTTCACAATTTGTCTTATTTTGTGGCAACTTTAGACTAGTAGTATATGAGTTGAAAGTTTTATATATCACAATTTGAGGATTGGATTCTATTTCATAGGGTGTTGGGTGTTCGCGGTCTGGATTGAATCATTTTGGAAGTAAAAATCATCTAATCTAATTCCTTCGGTTTAATCATATAATCATCCATTTGGTTTTAATTTGTTTTCAAATCTGATCCGATCCAATCCAATTTTATTCGGTTTGGATTGGATCGATTTTTGATTTTTTGAAGAATCTAAGATTTGTATGATTATTATTGTGCAAATAACATATCTTTTGTATATATCGGCTTTGTAAAGTTTGTATCATGATTATTGTGCAATCTAGAAGCATTATACAACAAAAAGTTAAATTATCATCTTTTACTTCCAACAAAAAATTTATAATATGATTGCCTGAGATACGAAGTAACCCAAATTTTCATTCTATAAAGGAGCTGTTGTACAACAACAATAGCCTATGTAATAAAAATATATTATGTATCTTATAAAAAAGAGAGAGCATAACTAGGTAGATGGTAAGGTTGGGGAATCATTGAATCGGTTTTCACCAACCCATCCAAAAACTGATCCAATCCAATTAAATTTTGCAATTTTTTTTCGGTTTTCGATTTTTCGATTTTCGGTTCGGTCACCTCGGTTGATGAACATCCCTACTTTTTCATAACTTGATTTATTAGACAATTTATCTTTTAGTACTAGTGATAATGGTAAACAACAATTAAGATATGCATTTGGGCAGCTGAAGTTGATTGCCTTAATTGCTTTGTCTCATCCAAATTCAAAGTATAAGATTGGTAACTAGCAAAAATAAAGTAAGAATAAATAAGGAATTAAGTCCTAAAATTATTGAGATGATTGCACCATCCACTGGCTCAATATTATAACTAGGGTACAACCCAAGGTGCACCAATGAAGTCTTTTTTTCTTGAATCTAGTTTAGACAAGTTGTTAGGGGACCAATCAATATGTCCAACTAATCTTTCTGCATGACATAATTGAAACAATCATGTGGGATAAGAAATTAAAATTGCTAAAGGGAACACATTTAGTGTATGAGTATACCTCACTGGAAGCAGTACATATTCAAAAAAATATAAGGTTGATTCAATGTTGAATAAACAAGAGTAGGAAATTTATAATTATCCAAAACAAGAAACATAAAATAAACCCATCTTAAAGCTTTAAAATCATAGCAAAAATATTGAATTCACAAATCCAAATTAAGGGTAATCCCAACAAGATCCTTCACTTGTTGGGATTGCTTCTTCACTCCCTTCATCCTGTGCAAAAAACAATTAAAAAAAAGACGAGGTACTTAAACTTCACCCATAAACTAATAATATAGAGTTCAACGTAGAAAATAAACATATGAAATCATTATCATTGAAGTAGAAGTAGTACCAAACAAAGCACCTAACTCCGGAGGAATCTATTCGTCCTTCATTTGTATATATGCAAGCATTAGTGTCTGTAATGTCTTGACACTCTCCTCAGATGATGATGCTAACTTGGTCTTTAATGAAGTAACATCTTCCCTCAATCGAGAACTTTCTGCTGAATTTGTACTTGAGAAAATAAAGCCTATAGGCTTGAATCGTCCACTTGTGACCAAATGCAATGCTAGGAAAACTATCTAGGCCTAAACCACGTACTGCTCTAGTTCAACAACTTTTGCAATAACATCATTTATTGAAAGTTTAGTAGAATTAATGCTCTGACTTAAATCTTCGTATATTTGATCCTATGCATATAAAAAATTTATTAATCTAACATGTCTCAAGACAAGGGATAAAGAAAGACTAATCCGAGAAGAAATAATTACTGTATAAGAACTCCACTTCTTATGTTGGTAAATTTAAAATAAAATTTATATAAAAAACTAACACGCAGATAAGTTTTACCCGAAGAGGCATACTTTCTTTGTTTCATTCCTATCATGTAATATTGCATTGGCCAATTAACAGCAATATAATAACAAACCAAAATAAATATAGAAATATATTAAAATAAAATATATTTAATTTGATAAAAATTACATGCCAGAAACAAAGCATCTGCATAAATTTTTATTAGGGATACATTAGCAAACTCTAACTAAGTCTCATCCAGGTGCCCCAAAGTTCAAAAGCCTTCAACTTTATTTGCGCGTCCGTAGCCCCAAAATGATAAAAGCTAACAAAAAATGCAAACACAATGTGGCATTCTCTCTGAAAAGGTCACAATGTATATAATTAGTGGGGGTTTTATTAACCTCCAAAAAATAACATCCACAAATGACATTTTCTTTTAGTGTCTTATTTTTTTTGTAACATTTTTGTAGTGTCTTTTTATTATAAGAGCTTTTGTAAAAATCTGTTTGACCTAAATATTATTTATAAAGAGAAGATAAGCTAAAAAAAACCTTTCAAACAGGCACTGAGTTGTATCAACTCATTTTCAAACAATTTTTAGATTTTTTTTAAAGTTCTTTTTTTAGCTTTTATCTTAAAAAAAAAGTGCCAAACAAGCGTATTACTAATACTTCAATAAAAAAATTATTTTTTAAATTTGAATTAAAATGATAACTTCTGTCATTAATTATAAATGTTTTTTTTTGGTAAACACATGTTTTTTTTATTAATTTGCTAACTTCAAAATTGATGACTAAAGATTTTGTGAAAGAATTCAATTTGACTTGAAAAGAAATGGAAGAATTCAATTTGACTTGAAAAGAAATGGAAAAATAAATATGGATTTATTTTTATTAAATGATCTATATTTGATATTATATAAAATTGCCTTGAGAAACCATTAATAATATAATAAAATTCTTGTCGAGTGAAAATTTGAAACAAAATAATATTATGTTCATTTTATAAAAATAAAATAATGAAATTAAAAAAATAACTAATAAAGGCAACAATAATAAAATTTATATTGATAATATAAAAATTAATATAATCAACAATACGAAGTGAAATTGTCTTGAGAAAGAAAAATATTTAATAAATATTAATATAAAACAAAGTTAAGAATGCAAAAAATATTGATTAAAAATATATATCAAGTAATAGTGATAATGTATATAAGAACTTATCCTGAAATGAAAGTAACTTTTTTAAGAAAAATATTTGTAATCTGATAACATATGACAAAATTTCATTTACAAGTATTTTTTCTAATAAAAAATTGAATATATAATAATCCCGTGCAACGAACAACAAAAAGAAGAAGAAGAAAAAATAGTCAATAGTAATAATATATCTATCGACTATCGTTAGAGCAACCTCTAATCCAAGCCATGCGTATTGCAACTATAAAATGTCAAACTCCATCACATTACATGGAACATGTAATATGGTTGTAAAACCGTATTATTAAATAGGGAAAAATGTTTCCGCAATTAATGCAGATAAGTTATCTGCATTTATTTTCAAAACGACGTCGTTTTGAGATTGAAATCTTAAAAAATTATAAATATAAAGATTATTATAACCCTGAAATAAATTAAAATTACAAAAATACCATGATTTCTGTCCAAAACGACATCGTATTGGGTTTACTGCAGATAATTATATGCAGTAACTGCAGAAAAAGTGAACCCTATTAAATATATATACAACCAAGTTGAAAAAATGTTGAGGAACTAATTAAATAATTAGTCCTTCTTCTAATTAAAAAAATAAATTAATCCTTCCCTTTAATTAACACCCGTACCGTACGTATAAGATATTATTATACAGTTTTTTTTTTTTTTGGTGAAATATTATTATACAGTTACCCCATCCAAAAAGATATTGACACTCGTTGATTTTAATTTAAATTTTTTCGAATAATAAAAAAGAAGGTTTATCAGTAAAATAACCTTACTAAAAGTCTAAAACAACTAATTAACTGTCCTATAATACTGGGTCCTTTAAACCATACATTGATGAGCTGAGCACTATCTCATTTTTCTACCACTAGTAAGCGTGAATTACTCTAAGCACGCGAACAAAGCGCAAAAAGAGCTCTCTATATATACATACACAAAGTGATGAACAATGCAAGAAAAATCATATAGAATTCCACAAAGTAAATAAAAGAGAAACCATACAATGGCAGGCTTTAACCTAGTCACCTCCCTCCCAAAGTTTGGCCATGCTGGAGCAACAATTGCAAGGGCTCGTGCCTGGAATCCTAGGGTCTTTGCAGCTGCTACCCCCAGACCTATCCAAGTAAATCATATTTCAGTTTTGTGTGTTTCACTATATCTAATGTGTGTTGATTCATTTTAGGAAAATGAAAATAAAATTGAATAGTCTTTATATATTATTATGTTTATGTATTTTAATTGGGAAAAATATTTTTCCTTTTAAAGTATGTAATTTTGTATCATTTTAGATCCTAACAGTTGATTTCCGTCAATCAATAGTTATAATTTATTGGTCAAATTTATTAATTAATTAGTAATTCACAATAAATGATTGACGGAAATCAACGACTAGGATATAAAATGACACAAAGTTATATCCTTTAAAAAGGACAAGCATTTTTCCTATTTTAATTAGTAAAATGATCTTTTAAATTCGGTGTAAGAATAATAACTTAATAAGTCTTACTCTTCATCTCAGTCATTGATCCCGTGCATTTAATGGTTATAATTAATTGAATTGTACCTATTTATTAATTATTAATTTTTAATAAATTATAACTATTAGATGCACAAAAATAAACGATTGAGATAAGAAGTAAGAAATTGTTATTCTTACACCAGACTAAAAAAAATCCCTCCCTTAGTTATTCTTTCCAAATTAAATATGTTGTGTTGAATAGTTATACTATATATCTTAATTTGTAGGTACCAACTAATCAAGATGGCTCATTGAACGCTGATGGTATCAAACAAGGAGCTAGTGAAACAGTCAATAACAATATGACTGAATCATTGCAAGACAAGGCTTACTCCACTGCGGAACATGTACTGTCAACTTGTGACTATATATATATATATATATATATATATATATATGAGGCAGATATTCTTACACCGGTGTAAGAGTTAGAAATCTTACAACCTTGATCATTGATCCACTTGTATCCAATGACTCACATTACTAAAAAATTAGAGCCCTTAGATATAAGTGAGATCAACGGACAAGATTAAGAGAGTAACTTACACTGGTGTAAAATGATCCTGATCCTATATATATATATATATATATATATATATATATATATATATATATATGTAAAATTAAATAATAACTCTGTATAAATTAAGTATATCTAATTTGATATTTTTAATATGGAAGCAGATGACTAACAAGACAAAAGACACGGCTGGTCAGATATCAGCAACAGCACAAAACATTACTGAGAAAGCAAAGCAAACAATGCAAGAGGCATGGGATTCCACTAAGAACACAGCCAATAGGGCTGCAGACACTGTTCTGGGAAAGGCTCAAGACTCAGCCGATTCAGTCAAAGAAAATGCTGAGGCTGCGAGAAGGAACATTAACAACAGAAAGAACTAATTTAATTAATACCATTTAATTATACATGATAATACCATCATATTAATTTCATGTTTACCTTTTAGCAATGTATTTTTTTTTTTTTTTAAGAATTTTGTTTTATTATTCGTGGCACGGAACGTGGAGAAGATGTGTTTCTTCCCAGTGCCATATATGTGAAACATATTTTGTTTCAACCGTCAATAAATATTTAAGTATTTTTTTTTTTTTCTTTTATTTTTCAATGTCTAGCTATTCGTTAAACATATTAATTTAGAGCATTGGAATTTGAATTTAAAAAATTTAGATCATGTTTACACCATTTATTTAGATAAGGAAAAACGATACTTCTTACATACTTCTTTTTTCTAAACAAGAAAATTATAAAAATAATATAAAAATTTTAATGTGAAAATACCATTTTTATATATGAATGAAGCAAAAAGTTAGAAGAAAGAGGAAGCAATGATTCAACCCTTGGATTTAATATCATTTTTATTTAATGAATGCAAGATTATGATTTATCTCATCCATTCGTTAAATGAAATTTAAGATTTTATCTTGCATATTTCATCTTCATGATTTCATAATAATTTTGTTGTATTCATTTTTTTTTAAAATTCATCACATATTAATTAAATCCTGCAATAATTTTAAAAAACTCAAAAAATTGTTAGATGAATTGGCCTTGCTTATTTATTATATCGTCGAAACTAGACAAAATACGAGACCAAACACGTTTTAAACTTTATTTGTTAATATTTGAAGTTATTTCCTCCCTTCGAAACCATTGTCCATTGTTATCAACTCAATGATTTCTCAAAAGCTTTATAAAAATAGTATATGTCGAAAAATTAATAAATGGGATTAGATTTCTTTTCTTTTCTTTTTAAAGGTATCTCAAAAGGTGTCCCTGCACCCATTTGCTTGAAATTAAATATTTGATAAGTAACATTTGTGTTAGTTGTAGTTCATGTTCAACTTAGTTACACTTAATTGGATTGAATGCGTTTAAGATGGAAAATTCTCATAAATTCATTTTAGATTATTTTTTTTAAAGACTTGTTTGGTTTCAATTTTGATAGAATTACTTTAAAAGAGTTAATATTAAAAAAATTATTTCATATTAAAAAATAATAGGTCAAAAGTTAGTTTTTAAAAAAATTAATTTTAATTGAAAAATAATCTTGTATCACTTTAAAATAGTATAATCATGTTTTGGAACATTTTGTGAATTTACATCTATAATTAAATTTCATTGGATGAAAACAAAATATTTCTATTCTTTTTTGGTATGTTAAACTCTAATTACTTCTTTGAGGTGAGTCGGTTATTCAAGAATTCTCATAAACTTCGACTTTTTGAACTAATTATGATTCTAATCCTGAGTTGTGATTTTATCACAATTAAAATTCATCGCCGCTCCTAAAATATATATTTAATGGAAATTAAACCTACATTATCCCTCAAATGAGCTACGTATTGAATAAATATTTATACTTTTCTTTTGTAGAGTACTCACATGCACAAAGGAAAAACGACTCTAACTTTTGTCCTTTATCATCATTTCATTCTCTTTGTAAACCCATTCACAGTACTATACATGATGAAAGTTGCAATTAAAAAAATTGCAATAGGGCCCCTCTAGTATACAAACCCCCCCCCCCCCCCCCCCCCCCCCCCTCTAAAATTAAATAAATAAAAATTTGCAATAAATTTGTGAAAATAAATGCAAAAGAAATAAAGAAAAATATATGTTGTAACTATTAATTGTCCAAATAAAAATTAATATATCATTGTTAGTGTGTTTAAAAAATCATATAAAAAATATAAATTTAGTATTAATGCTTGGGAGGGGTTATACTTACCACTAATTTTTTTTTATCATTCTTAGAATCAATTTAATCATCGTTGGATCAGAATTAAATCTAATAGCTCATAATTGATCCTTATAGTTCAAAATTTGTACTCTTTCATTCTCTCTCAACTTCACCTTCTCTCTAGGTCTGACAACCCTTTCTCCATTCTCTCGCTAGGTCTTCCAATTGCACATGATAGACCGATAAATTTGTCTCTCGTGCTCTGTCAAAATTATAAGTTTATTCCCATTTTTTATTTCCTTATTAAAAAAAACTCCTTATTGCAAATGGTGCAGTGCATAAATTTAATAATGAAAGAATCACCAATTGTAGAAGCAAACATGAAACCCTAAAAAACCCAGAAGGGAAATTTGCTAAAACGCACAGTAATCATGCCATAAGACAACCCTTCATTGATGCATAAGCATACAAATCAGAATAAAAATTATTACTTGCATTAAAAATTCATTTTTTTTGCTTCAACCTCACAATCTTATGAACACGATGAGACGGTGGAGATCGACAAAACTGATCAGTGACCACTAGAATGAATTTTGATGGCGGAAGAGAAAGATGGAAAGAGAGTTATCAGATCTAGAGAAGGTGAGAGGGGATGGAGAGTAAAAATTATTATTAAAAATTAAAAATTCATTTTTTTCTTCAACCTCACAGTAATCGGTCTGGTTTCCATACTGGACCAGCCATGTTATAGAATCGGTGTGACCCAGTGCGACCCGACTTATTTTTGTAAAAAACGGTGGCCTGGTCGGTTCAACCGGTGACCCGGCCCAGTTCATGAAAAAAAAACTGGTTTATTTTCATTAATTGATGTCTTTCTTTTTTCACTCTCACACACAAATGATTTGTTTTCTTTTAAAATATTTGAGTTATCTGTTGTTTATTAACTTATATAGATTATATATCTACAACACTAATATTATTTTGATTATGCAATATGTAGGAATTTTTTTATTTGATTTATAGTTAGAGATGTTGTCTACCAAACCTGAAACCAATGTTTTAAAACCCCACCCCACCTCTCGGGTTGACCCGGGTCAACCCTGACCACTCTCCTATGAGGGTTGAGGTCACAAGTTGGACCCTATATGCACATCGACCCCTCCGACCCCCAAAACCCGACCGGGTTTTAGTGACTCCCGGGTCAGAGGGATCAAAGGAGGTCACTGCATGTTTTTTTTTTATAAAAAAATTCCCTGAAACAATGTCGTTTTATTAAAAAAATAAAATAAAAATGCTTACAAACCTAAATCTAATCGTTATCTTCTCTCCTAGTGACCTAGACGTCTTTAATCTTCACCTCACTGCCGTGAATCTTCTAGAAAAGGTAAGAATTTTTTTCCATTCAAATGAAATCCTTACAACTGTACGTTGATGGAAAACAAAAACTCATTCTTACTTCTTTTAAATTTTCCTTCATTTGTCAGAGACCTTATCAAAAGAGGCAGAACTGGATCACCGTAGTGACCCCATTAGAATATGAGTTTTGTACTTTGGTATCTTGATACTTTAATTAGGTTGTGTAATATTGACTTGTGGTTGTAATTGGTGAATTATGTTAAATATATTTTAAATCTTTGATGATTGGTGGTTTGTTTTTTAATATTTTCATATAGGATATATATATATATATATATATATATATATATATATATATATATATATATATATTTATTTAATATATAAAACCGGGTCAGCGTAGTGACCCCGTGACCCCCCGGTTGAACCCGTGACCCCATGACCCCTGACCTCGGCCGGGTCGATGGCCGGGTCGGGTTTTTAAACACTGCCTGAAACACCAATATCACAAGTATTATATGTTTGATTAATCTTTTGTTGGACAACGATGTGTAATTTATTCTTTTTTATATTAAAATCTTTGAAATTGATATATTTTTTACAGGTATTTAAGTATATTTATAATTTTTTTAATATAAATTATAAATTTACATACACTTACCGATCATGCGATTGAACCAATAATCTATTGGTTGAACCAGTGACCTAGTGACTCAGTATCTTGACCAGGTCAATGATCGGATCGGGTTTAATAACAATGATTATAAGAAATGATTGTGAGCCATTAGATTTAATTCTGATCTGACGGTGATTAAGTTGGTTATAAAAATAGTAAACTTTTATGGTAGTAAGTACAACTCCGCCTTGATGCTTTATTACTATGACATTTTTCATATTATCACTTGATTATGTAACGTCATGTCATTAAACAAATTTGACTTAGAAAAACTATTTCAAAAGTCATATTTTCTATCTACAAAAAAAAAAGTCATATTTTGTTATCAAAAAAAAAAAAAAAAAAAAAAAAAGTCATATTTTGTTTTTATAAAATTGTAAAAAGTTTTTAATAATCGAATTCATTAAATATTTCTATCCCTCGTTAATGACTTTCCATTTTTTTTATTGACTTATAGAAAAACTTTTCATGTGTCGCATTAAATAGGGTGTCATAAATATCTAAAATAATAATAATAAAAACTAGGGTGTTTTAAATAATTCATTTAATATTTGAACTCCATAGGAAGGTAATTAATGCATTTCTCGATTTTTCTGATTCATGCATTAAATATACGAAATATTTAATCTTTTATTATTAATTATTCATTTTTCAATAAATAAATTGCATATTTGCTATAATATTTAGTAAACTGGTCTTTCATTTATTCTCTCTTATAAAAGCCTGGCATCATAGAAGAGTGAGATATACAGAGCTTCATTTTTATTTTTATTTTTATTTTTATTTTTATACAAAGAGCTTCATTTTTAGCATACAAGGTTTTTTCCTTATTCATCATCACTTTTTTTTTTTTTTTTTTTTTGTTACAGTTCATCATCACTTTCGTTAAACCTTAGATTTGATTAATGAAAAAAAGCATTTTCACCCTCCGGTTTTCAAACCTTTTATCTGATTTTGCGATGACAAAGAAGGGAATTTCTTTCCATATTTTCGAAATTTTGAGCCCTTCCATTTGTAGCTAACCCACGACATTTTATTTTCCTTTTTACGCATACTTTTAAACTAAATAGGTCTGAAAAAAATTATAGTTGTTTCTTTTTTTCTTTTCTTTTTTTAACATTTGCTAGCTCTTCAATTCTTAAAGCTTCTTCTATATAGAGTAGTGAATT